CAGGTGCAGGGAATGGAGTGAGGGTGGTACTGTCGCGAAAGAAACAGCGGGAAGCACCTGAGTCAAGTGTGAAGGTGTGCAAGGCCTCAGCAGGCGCAGTACCAAGGAGAGCAGACTCACTAGCACTTAGAGCAGCAGCCTCTATACCTGGGTCGGGCGGCACACACAGGTAACAGTCACCCTCAGCACTAACAGAGAAGGCATACATGGCAGCAAGGATAGCATCATAGTCAAGAGCAAATATATCAACTCCAGACCTAAGCAGCTCTAGCCAACGGGGGCGCGCAGCCTTGTCGCCAAACTCTGCGCGCCAAGTGTCGTCAAGGCGGGAGAAGCAGCGGTGCTGAGTGTGAAACTTCCCGCATGTCTGACCGGCGCGGTCACCTGTGCGAATGACATACGGGCAGCGAACACTACCCCCAGATGCCCCACGCTGATCAAACCACTCACAAAGCTGCTGGGGCGTAGGGGTCTCGCTCCGACGCTGCTTCTTCTGCCTCTGGCCATCGCCAGAACCTCCCCTCTGAACAGCTCCACCCCGACCGCCACCACTACCACCGCCACCACTCCCACTGCCGCCACCACCGCCACCCCCGCCCCCACCGCTGCCACCACCGCCACCAGCGAAGCCCCTACTCCGGCCACCACTCCCACCGCTGCCACCACCTCCGCCACCTCCACCGCCTCCACTGCCTCCACCACCACCCCCCCCCCCGCTGCCACCTCCACCACTCTTGCCACCCTTGCCCTTGCTGTTGCGGCGCTTGCCACTAAGAGCAGAAGCAGCTCCGACATCCTCGGTACCAAGGATGTCAACAACGGCAGGAGAAGCGTAGGAGGGGGCAAGGGGGGGGGGGGGGGAACACCCCTCAAAGAAGGGTTTGCGAGGAGTGCCACGAGCAGCACCTACAGCGACTACGCTAGTCTCAGCTGCAAGGAGGTGCTTCTCGAGCAGGTCGACAGTGAGGTATGTGGGGTCAAATGCGACAAAGTGGTCCCTGACTGCGCGAAGAGATTCAGGGAGGCGGGTGACTATGAAGTAGAGAGTGATGTACATCGGGGGCGGGTTCCTGTCTAGGAACTCGGCTGGGAGGGCAGCATGGAAGCGAGTGTCGCTAGTGCGAAGGTGGGTAACGAGGTCCTCGACTGTGGCAAAGGCTGACAGCTCGGGAAACAGGTAGGGCAGTATAAGGCGGCCGAGAGCAGCAGTGGCAGGGGAAGAGTAACGAGCGACTACAGCGTCGTACATGGCTTTAGCAGTCTTCTGCTGGCCAAAGTGAGCGCATTCGGCTAACGGCAGGTGGTTGCGAACGGCTAAGTGAGCAGCAGCATCACGGGTAAGCCACTGTGAGCGAGTCGCACTGTCAACTGTGGCGGGAGGGGCGAGAGAGGCTCCAGACGTGTGGTCAAACAACGAAACGATGTCTCTAGAATCGCTCAGTAGGTGCAGCTATAAGTTGCCGAGCCACGTATCGAACTAGATCGGAAGGCCCTCATGATCGAAGGTGAGAACACTGAGAGAAGCCATAGCGGGCAGAGCAGGGTGTCGCGCGACCGGCAGGGCAGCACGCAGGCAGGGCGGCGCGCGAGCACTAGGGAAGCGCGTAGGGCAAGGCGGGGCGGCGCACGGCTAGGGAAGAGCGGCGCGCGGCCGGGGCAGGGCAGTGCAATGGCAGGGCAGGGCGGCGGCCAGCAGTGCGGTGCGTGGGCAGGGCAGAGCGGTGCGGCTGCCAGCAGGGCGGCGCGTGGGCAGCAAGGCGGCGCACGGGCAGCAGGGCGTCGGCCAGCAGGGCGGCGCACTGCGGGGCGGGCAGCACCAGGGCGGCGCGGGCAGCGGTGCGGTTGCCAGCAGGGCAGCGCGCGGGCAGCAGGGCGCCAGCCAGGAGGGCTGCGAGCAGCAGGGCGGGCAGCAGCAGGGCGGCGCGAGCAGCAGGGCGGTGCGGGCAGCAGGGCGGCTCAGCTCGGTCAGGGCAGGGCGACGCGCAGGCAGGGCAGGGCGGCGCGGCTGCCAGCAATGCGGCGCGTGGGCAGCAGGGCGACGCGACGACCAGCAGGGCGACGCGACAGGCAGGGCAGGGTGATGCGACAGGCAGCAGGGCGACGCGGCAGGCAGGGCAGGGCGACGAGACTAGTGGGGCAGTGCTATGTGGTGGGCCCTAAAAAAACGATCCCGGAACAGGACCTGCTATGAAACCATGTAAAAATACTGAACGAGAATGAATGCATTGAGCAGAAAGTTGGTACAAGTACTAACCCTAATTGGGTTGTACCCCTTATGGGCTACCCCACTACAGCCTACACAATATAAACATTATAACATTTTGACGCTAGGGCGCGGAGGATTCGAGGGCGCGAGCTATGCTATTCTAGGCAAGGATTCTAAACCTACGCGTGATACCATCTCAGAAATAGAATGCAACGGAATGGTTTGGGACTAGCAAGATGGGATACAAGTAATCAACCCTAATAAGGGTTGTACTCCCTATAGTGCTACTCATTGTAGCCTAAGAACCTATAATAACATTTGACATGCCACTACCACTTCCACCCCATTCAGTTCTGGGTTTGCCACTTGGAGATTCGCGGTTTCGTAAATTGTCAATGTTGCACAAGACTTGTCTTTGCATAAGCCCTTGAGAGGTCTACTATTGCATCTTATTTCCCATAACGAAACAACACAGCCAAAGACGATTCCCCGACCATGGCCCAAACCACACAATCTAACGACTAAAAACCACTCAAGCATAATCGAACCCATTCAAACCAATGCAGCGCACACCACAGTAACATATTTGAGCCTTGGAATCTAAGAAGTGGCCTTGAACGCCTTCAGGACGAGCTGGTGCTGCGTGCTGGTCTTCACGGTGCCATCCAGACCGTAAACGAACACCGTACCTGAGTATCCAACATAGGCGCCCGTCCCACCCGTTATGGCGACCCTCCCCTCGTTTTCCGTCCACTTTTAAGCACCTGAAAGTGCACGAAAGAAGACGATTCTGAGCTTCGTGCTTCACGGCGGCCTGTCCGCCTTCGGCGCCCCCTAGCACTATGAGATCTAATGAAATTTAAGATAAAATGGATGCGACAATAAAAACACAATGCAATAAGCAACATCCAAGATAGCCCACCTGAGGCGGTAATAACTCCGTTGTCAAAATTGAGGCTGCAGGTGATCATGATTATGTCATTCCACATGGCTACCGCTGAGAGGTAGTGCTGGCCAACCTGAAGAACGGAAGAAGGAAAGAAACAAAGACTAAATAAATAAACAAGAATAGCAAACAAACCGACATCGGCGGCATGGAAGCATGTCTTGCCAGATATATATTAAGATCCTTCTTAAATATATATACGCGCGTTCAAATCCCACACAAGTAGGAGCTAGAGTGTGCCGATCAGGCAGACAGCCGGATGGATAATCCAGTACCTTGTTTGTAAAATCCTTCGACTTGTAAAGAGGCGTACTAAACATGAACATCGACCCCGTGTCGCCAGATCCGATCTGCTCACATTGTTTGGTTTCAGAGAGAGAGAAAGAGGGAAAAGCACAGACAACGGGAAAAGGCAGCTAATTAGGAATATTTGATAGAAGCCGATAGCTAACGCTTCGGATGCAAAAATCTGGCTAATAGTGCTACCGTCTCATTGAAAGAGCGCAGCGCAACTCACGGCCGTAATGTTGGTGTTGACGCTGACGTCTTCGACTGGCACAGAGGTATTTCTTTAGTCGACTCAGAATCACCGTGATGTTGGTGACTGGCGCATCCCACGGCTGTAATGTTGGTGTTGAAGCTGACGTCTTCGTCCAGCACTGAGGTATTTCTCAGCACTGAGTCGACTCAAGAATCAAGAGCGCGGCGCAACTCACGGTGGTACTGTTGGTGTCGACGCTGACGTCTTCGTAGAGCACTTCAATCCAGCTCTTGTACTTGGAGTTGCTGTCGTCGGCGGGGGAGCTTCCGTCGTCCTTGGAAGCTAGAATGTGACGGGACGGGAAGAAGAAAAATGCGAGCGACACAACGGCGAGAGAGGAATCAGTGACGGCAAATCGACTCGAGAACACTTAGGGGAAGCGAGGGGAAGAGATTCGAGCTATGGAATGCTGGCAAGAGTTTGCGTGGTCGTAACATTCGTCCGTTGCAGATGCACGACGATGAGATCAATGATATGGCAAACGGAAAAACCGACAAGGAAGCATTCAGGATACGGCATTAGTAGTAAAAGGCACATTTGACGCACCCGGCCTGAGAGCGGCGACGTGCTGCCCGGCGAGAATGAGCGACAGGAGCGCGACGAGAACACGAGTTTCGCGAGCCATGGCGAGAAAAAAGGGTTGAGCTGAGAAAAGCGCGTTGCTTGGAAATGCAGAATTGAAATGACTGGGGACCTAAAATACCTGAGCAGGGCATTCTACCTAGGCATTCGAGGGGCATTCTTGAATTCAAGAACTGCTCTAATGCGGCGGACGAAATTCTACGCTGGCAGACCTCGCGTGGGAGCGCTGTTCGTCGACCGTACTCGACAACCATGGCGCCACCCGAAGCTTCGATAAATGACGAGGTGGGAATAATCTCTGATGTGGCGAGGCCAAATTCGTCTATTGAGCAGAGACATCAACCAGCCTTGTAGTTTGTCTTGGCTGGCAGTGGCAGGGGGAAGTGAATTGTGCTGAGCCAATATCAGCTGCAGTCAGCTTATGCCAGCGCGGGGGTGCAATTGCATTCCTTTGCCGGTCTGTACTGGGAGGAAGAAGCTGACGGACGTCTGGCGGTTCTTTCGCCATCGCAAAATAGTTCGTTATCTGCCCGCGGTCGATCGAAATAACCCCATCTGGATGCATACACGCTGGGAAATAATCATCATTTCTACCTGGCGACACGAAGTGATGGCGCATACAGCAAATGACTACAACGAGAAATTTTCGTGACAGCCCATGCGCATACAAGCCGCTTACCTAAACCGTACATATGCATCATTACAACGGTTTGACATAAAATATCCTAGCTGCAAGATATCGTCTTTCCGACAGACTCCAACGAGAAATTTTCCAGTCTGTAGAGCACTTCGTTTCTCTGCACAAGCACTCCGAGAACACATGTGAGAAATGAGCATAGGTGGTACAAACGGAGCTAGAAGTGCATGCGAAATAAGTGCCTACCCGACGTACCTTGAGAAATGGGATGGGAGACCCACTTGGGTAGGACACCAGAGCAGAAGCAGCAGCACCCAACCCCATGCCTCCCTTCACAGCATCTGTAGCAGTGCTGTCAGCGGCAGCTGTAGACCTGTCTGAGCCGGCTCCTCTTGAGGCCAGCAGCAGGCCATCAGAGGTGGCATCAGCCCGCAGAGCAGCAGCTGCTGACGAGAATGTCTCCACCAATGGCAGCCCTCCGAATGATACTGCAGCCCATGTGCCACGTGGCATTGTGCCAACGGTGAGATCAGGATCGGTTGGAGTGGGAGCATCAGCATCAAGAGGCACGGCAATCGCTAATATTCTATCCTGCCCGGCGGACTCTGGAGGGCTGCTGAGCATGAGGGGGCCCTCGGGAATAGTTTTCCTCTGGCTATTGGCTCCCTGGAAGTACCTGGAATGGGAAGAATCACAAGATTTAGAGAGAATGTATGGCTTGTAATTACCCTGAATCTGATAGCGGCAAAGCAGAGAGTGATTGCCTCTAAACGTTTATCATTGCACTGAGTACAGTGACATGCCTCAGACCTTTACATGTTTGGATTCAACTACAAAATAACACATACCTATGAGTATAAAGCTTCCGACTCAAAACCAGCGACATACCTCTTTAGCTTTTCCACTTGTGGACTGGGAGGAGTGCCAGGAGCAGAGGGCCAGATGTCCATCGCTGATTGGACAGGCGAGTTGACCTGAACGACTTGGTAGGCAGGGTAATCCCGCACCTGGAGGAAGGAGGGGGGGGGGGAGAGGAATGAGAGACACACAGAGAAGGGAACAAAAGACACACCGAGCGGGGGAGAATGGAGGGAGAATGAGACGAGGACGGGAGTTAATAGTTGCTGATAGATGTGATGGGAGAGCGAGAGACACAGACAGATGAATTCTTGAGCCAGCTATTCAACGGGGGAGAGGGAGGTGGAGAGGCACACCCACCTCGTGGATTGCTTGCCGCCATAACACATCAAATTCAGGGAAACTGAGCCAACATGGCAGCGAGTATACTGTCAGCATCAGCGTTTTCGTTTTTTCTTCTTCTACATTTTTTTTTTCCACCATAGTAAAAGACCTGCCGCCATTCTCAAGCAAAACATGAACCCCTCATGAGAGAAGCAGTCATCCTCTCCCACTGCAACCCCACTTTTTTACTCAACACGCGGACACACCCACCCACCTCATAGCTTGCCCTCCGCAGCAGAACGCCAAACTTTGGGGAGTTGAGCTGGGCGGGCGGCGAGTAGAGCGTCATCATCTGCTTCACCAAATCTCGAAGGCCTTCCTGGGAGAAGTAGCCGTTGTCCCGAATGGAGTCCCACACGTCCCTGTGGCTGATGAACTGCTGCGAGCGCGGGTCGATGCCGTAGATTGAGAGACCTGTGAAAACCACCTCTGGGCGCCACGGCAGCAGCCAGAAGTACATTTTCATCGTCCATCGCGTTGTGATCTCCGCTGGGCCGGACTGGAGGGGTGAGATGGGGAAAGTGGGACAGGAGAATGTGGAAACCGCGTGAGGAGGGAAAACCCGTCAGGATTGCCCACGAAACGGCAAGAGGGGGAATGGGCCAGGAGGGACGAGGAGACGCCATGGGAGCAGCCAGAAACATCTACACCGTTCATCGTGTGACGCGCTCCAGTGTACGGCACTGATTGAAGTGAAGCCAATGTGAAAACATGGCAGTGGTGGCACAAGAAAGGGAGGGATGTAGGTTATCATGCTAAATTGTAGCGTTTGTGGCTACTGCGAGTGGCTTCCACGAGTGGTTGTTCACATAAACGTGTATGCTATGTATAACCTCTCAAGGTGATATCATGAGTGCACCGTCCGAACCATGGTCGCAGCTGTGTTGTGCTGTACGACCAAGCGGTAACTATCTGGCAGTTCAACTACCGGATAGTTATCATTTGAAGCTGTAATGAACTATCAATTAGAGCCTGCTTGGTTCAAGGAGCTAAGGTGCATACCTGGTATGTGTCTTGGAGAATGAAGACGGGGTGAAACAGGTACCGCAGCATCTGGATATTAAAGAGGTATCCCGCCAGAGTGTCGTAGCGCGTTATGGGGTCCTCAAACTCCACCTTGTCCGCGAAGCGCGCCGAGCTCATGCCCTGAAAAAGCATTGGAAGAATTCGAACAATTATAGGTCATGGTAACAAATAATACATCCCGGCAACAACAACTTACGCCGGTAAAAACAGTGCAGTGTTCGCGATTACTGGTCCAGTAGTGGTCATGGTAACAGTCAGGGTAATATTGATGTCACTTACCCCTTCCACGAACAGCTTCGGCAGTTCTTGTTGAAGGAACGCGATAAGGTCGTCGATCACAGCTGGCGGCACCGCGCCTTCCGCTACCTCTGCCACGTCAGTCTTACTGGATTCGGTCCTTGTTGTACTTCCCGCAGCGCGAGTGATGCTTCGGTTAAACTGGGACGTGACGGGATTGACAGCTTTAGGTTGTTGAGTGAAGAGCTCAGCACGTACGACGCCAGCGGTGGCGGATTTTAGCTGTCTGGATTGAGGAAACACGGCATTCTGTTGGAGATCAGAGTTGAGAGTGACACGTCCTGACGATTGGAAAGCTAAGGGACTAGAATGTGAATGGAGGAGAGCTCGAGTGGCCATGGCCGTAACGTCTACGAATTCAAATGGCCGGGAGAAGCACCTTCAGGGGAACACAACGAGAAGGCAATTTCGCAATATCAACGCAGACACTTGTACGAGTCGCAGCGACAGTCTGATCTTACTAGTGTCAGGGAAGAGCGCGGCAGAGCTTGGCAGCATGCTCTATTATAACATTTCTGAGAATTTTGGTTTCCTTGGTGGTGGAAGAAATCTGGTCTGGTCTGGTGGTTCCTGGAAGAGGACTCTGGAGTCTGGTGTCGAGCCACGTGGGCGATACTTGACGTCACGTCCTACTCGATTTTCTCAAGGGCTTTGGTGGCTCCACGCGGCTCAGGCACAATTGTGGCTGAGAGAATGGCACGTCAGATAAAAGGATTCGCATAGATGTTCAATGGGGGCGATCAGTCTGGTTACACCAGATTTGCGAAATACCAGTTCGCTGATCTGCTCAGGCGGGAGAATTGTCCGCCCCGCAGTCGCTGACACTGACCGACCAGACTCCAGCATTTCGCGAGCAGCACTGCACACGCAGATCTGAACCGAGCGTATCCCAAAAATCCCTGAAGGGGTGGACTACATCACAGGTGGCGGGTAACCACCAATCCCGCGAATGCGCTGCCCCATTTCTTCGACTGTTATGTTCGCGAATCTAGGTCGACGTGGACCAGAATAATGCAGTCGACCAATTCATGGGAATCTGTAGAGAACCGTGATACGCATTACCGATTGTTGTTGTACTATACCGTAAGACATTTGTGGTTCTCCATAGTGGTTGCTCAGACTGGCAGAAGTTTGATTCCTAAAATGTGCTCATAAGGAACTTGTCATTCGACTTATACGTCTATAGGCTGGGAAGCATTGCAAGATTGATTGAAACATATCGTGTTATCGCTAGCATTTGGTGTCTCGTTTACCTCTTAGCATAGTGTGGGCATATTCGCTTTTATTTTGAGGTTGATTAGACTGCTGCAGGTCTTCTTTGCACTATACGGTCGAGATGGCACTCACTCTCCGTCGACGCGCCGCACCGGAGAGCTTCTTAGAATCCATTCCACGTGGCGAGGAGTGCGCCGCTTCTAAGATCTCCGATTCGGCTCCCTGGAGGTGCTTCGAAGCGCTTTCTGGGATCCGCTCTCGTTCCCCCTCCGCGCGCCACTCTTCCGCCAATTCAGCGCGCCATCTCCGCGCGACGTTGCTCCCCGCGAACTACTCCGAGCCTCCACACGAGCTGCTGCTTCCCGCGCACCAACAAGATCCCGCCACGTGGCAACTCGAGCTGCTCTCGGCGATCGGCGCGCCCGCATCGGCACAGGTGTTTTCCGCGCGGATCTGCCCGCGCCTGGTGGTATTCTGGGCGATTGCGCCTAGCAGCGTGGAGATCAACGAGCGCGCGGGGCGGCTCGCGCGGATTTCCCACATTTACGGAGACGCCCTAGCAGTAGAGTGTGACTCAAACGACAGCGCCTTTAACGAATGTGACAAAAGCGAGACCGCTCAATGCAAGCACATTGCCGCCGCCACCGCCGCTGCTTCCACGAGGGCAAAATCCTCCCCTCCATATCCTCCCGCTTCTTCCTCTTCCCTTCCTCTCCCCCGTTCCCCACAGACTCTTCCCCCATCCTCCTCTTCCTGTCGTCGTTCCGCATCCCTCCCCGCCCTTGCGCATCCCCCTCCGCCCCTCCTTTCCCCGCTTCCCCACCACAATGCCCCACACCCCATTCGCCAGGGTCACGCACTCTTCGACCCCCCTTCGACCCCCTCGCTCGAGCCGCCTTCAAGTCCATCCAAACTTGACCCACCATCTCCCCTCTCTATCGAGACGTGTCATCAGCTAACTACACCTACTAACCTCCCCTCGCCACCATCGCTTGAAGCGTCTCTAAAGCCATCTGCCCTCCACCCCTCGCCTCCTCTATCTTTTGCGCCGTTTATAAAATTATCGTCCCTGCATCCCCCGCCGCCCCCGGCGCTGTGCCTGGCCTCCCTCCTCCCTTACGACGTCGCCGAGCGAATCTTCCTCGCCCTTTCCTTCGCTGACCTCATCAGTTGCGCCGCTGTCTGCAAGGCGTGGCGCTGCCACGTCAGCAGCAACCAGGTGAGCGCCACATGTCCTGGGCTGACTCATTCTTCATTCCTCGCTGGTCCCTGTTCATGTTGATCATAATCAGCACACTTGCTTCTAACGAATAAATCCCTCTCTCCTGCCGTGTCTGGCAGCACCTCCTCCTGAATGTGGCTATACCGAGGCCCAGAGTGACCGTTTCCTATCCCTGGTCATCGGCCAGTGGAACAGTATGGAACGGCCCCTTGGCAATACCACCAACGGCAGTAGCAGGATTAGCAGCGGCATCGGGATCAGCACCTGCAACAGCAGCACCTGCAGTACAATCACTGCCACCACCGATTTCATCAGCAGCAGCTACGAGCTTGCAAGCGACGACGGCGCCGGATTCATTCGCTCACTTGAATCAGAACGACCAGACAGACCAGCCTGCACCGGATGACCAGTGTGATGAGCAGTCCCATCCCATTCCATACTCAAGGCGCGTCAGGAACCAACCCATCCGCTCCCATGTGCGCTTACCCGCTCTGCCGGCTCACCTATCCCACCACCAAGAACCGTTCACCATCTCTCCTCGCCGCTCACCACTCGCCTCTCCTACAGTCACCCTTCGTCACAGTCACCTCTCTGGAGTCCCCCTCACGGTCTCCCCCGCTCCCTGTCCCCTCCCCCCGTTACTAGTCGTCCGGGCAGCTGAAGCAGGGAACCTGGACGCGTGTGTGATTATGGCGAGGGTGATGGAAGCGAGGGGGGAGCAGCAGAGGGCGCTGGAGTGGTACAGGAAGGCGGCGAGAATGGGGCACCAGGGGAGCCAGTATCGAATGGGCGAGGCGTACTACAGGGGGGATGGGGACTGGCTGAGGGACGAGGAGGAGGCTCTGGCGTGGTTGTTGCGCGCTGCTCGGAACGCCCAGGCGGATCCCGTGCTCGGTGCTGCTGCTGCTGTGAGTTTCTGAATGTATCTTGAATGAACAGGCTGATGCAGTGCTGCTGATCTGAGCCGCTTTGATTTGTCCTTCTCGGTGCTGCTGCTGCTGCTGTGAGTGTCAGACATACCGGTACCGATTGCCCAGGCTGATGCGGTTCCAATTATGTGTTGATGATCTGCTCTGTGCTGCCGCTGTGAGCTTCTTGGACGAACTCTGAATGAGAGGCTGATGCGCTGCTCTGCTTGCCCCTCTTGGCAGCTGCTGCTGGGGTACATGTACCTGGATGGGGCGGCCACGGCACACTCGTTCAGCGGCTATCATCCGCTCTCTGTGCCTTAATCTGAAACTGATTTGTGTTCCTCCTTTTTCCCCCATGCAGCTGCTGCTGGGGTACATGTACCTGGATGGGGAGGGCACGGGGAAGCCGAGCACTGAAGAGGCCATCCGATGGTATGCTTGCCGTGGCATGGATCAGCACAGCAGCATGGGTGCATGCATGTATGGATGTAGTGGCATGGATGATGTGGTATGGCCGTGTGGATGCATGTGTGCTGTGGCATGGGTGCATGGCGGATGGTGGATGGATATAGTGGCATGCATGTGTTTCTATGTGCAACTCATGTCTGTGTATCTGCATGCATCAGCATTGCCGAACACCATCCATCTGGTGTGATGGCGGAAGGCTGCATACTGCTACCTGTTGGTGTTTTGGATTAAGACCAACTTGCCAACTGAATCACTTGTATCCTCCTGTATCCTCCTTGCATGCTTGGGTTCACTGTGTGTCAGGTTCAAGATGGCACGTGGCTTGGGGTGCAAGGAAGCAGAAGTGACCCTTGGATGGATGTGGAACACAGGGCAGTACTGACGGATGGGGTAGATCTGACGGGGTATAACTGATGATGAGGAACTGCATAGAAGGTACAAAATGTTGCATGCCCAACCGCCAGTGTGTCCACCGCTGGGGAAAAAACCAGCGTAGGCGCTGGTTGTACTGAGTGAATGCATGTTGTGTATTCAATGGGGCCCGGAAATTCTCCACCACATAATCTGCAGGTAGTCTGGTAGTGAGCTGAGGATGATTCACTTGGGTCGGAAAAGCTTCATCTAAATCAGTACCCCCTATCGGGTTGAGTCATAACGTCACGTACTGTAAGAGCTTTTTCTATTGGACCAACGCCAAGCTGAAGGGCAGCTGATGGATAATGGAGGCTGTTGGTATAGATATGGGCTGCGAGGAATCACATGTGCATCAGTCTACCATACATGGTAATGGCAAATCAGAAAGACACCTCAGTTGTCTCAAGGGAGAAGGCTTATGACTCCCCTTCCTCCTCTTGCCCTTCCAACAATCCGAGTGACCCATCCTCCATATCCTGCCACGTGTCACCCTCTGCTGCATCCTGCCTGCTCTGCCGTCGAGCGGCCAGCTCAACAGGATCTTCCGGGCAGCGATTTCGAGGGCCTCTTCTCAACGGCCGGGCAGCCACTGAGAATTTCGCACCCTCACGCTCGCGCTCAGGATACTGTGCCCAGACTGGATTAAGGAAGGGGATGCAACAAGCAAAGAACGTATGGCAGTTGTAGCGTACGATTTGAAGGCAGATTATGTAGCAGTCATCCTAGCAGGACAAGACATTGACAGCATGAGAAGCTGCATAAGGGGTGCATGGTGGGGCGCATGGTGGGGTGCATGGTGGGGTTCAAAATAGACTGCAGAATAGAGCTCTTGTCACAGAGATTCATGTGCGAGTTGTAAGATCTGCCAACACCAGCTCACCAGCGAAGTGGTGCAGGACGATGGAGGCAGCGACAATGACGTTGAGGGACGCGGTCCCGGGGCCATGCTGCGGGATGTAGACAAACGAGTCACACACTGCTAATTCTGTGGGTGAGAGCCCCGTGCCCTGGTGGGATGGGGGTGACGGACAGAGGTGACTCGTGAGTCAAGCCAAAAGCCGGCCGTGCTGCGGGATGTAGACAAACGAGTCACACACTGCTAATTCTGTGGGAGAGAGCCCTGTGCCCTGGTGGGAGTTGCGCGAGGGCAGGAAGGGCAAGGAGAGGGCAGAGAACCAGTTTACACAAGGAGGCTCTTTTTAATGCAAACTTTCTTTAAGATCGATGCTTTTAACAGTGTTGATCCTGTTGCTCAAGTGTGTAATTTGCATAATGCTGCCCTTTGGGAAGGGAAGATGGAAGAGGAGTAAAGTCTGTAAGAATATATGCGAGGGTGGAAGAATGAGCAAAATGGCATGAGAGAGGGGGATGTGTGGTAGAGCAGATGATAGTGTCAGTAGATCTGCACTGTGGATGCCCGATTGATCCTAGGGGGGTTACAGGCGTGTTCGCCTGGGGGGTTATGGGCGCACCCTGACCCGCTACTTAACAAGCCCTTTTATCCCAATGGTCTAGTGGTTGGGATTCTGACATGGTATCAGAGCGAAAGTCTCGGGTTCGAATCCCAGTGTGTGCACTTCGGGTATCCCAGTGCGGGGGGGTGTCAGAGGTCCACTGGTGATCCCCGATTGATCCTAGGGAAGGGTTACAGGCTCGTTGTCCTGGGGGGTTGTGGGCGCGCTGACTCGCTACTTAACAAGCCCTTCCATCCCAATGGTCTAGTGACTGGGATTCTGACATGGTGTCAGAAAGGTCTCGGGTTCGAATCCCGGTGTATGCACATGTAGGCCGTTGCCGCTGTGCTCAGTCCTGGGCCTCCCAGTGTGGGGGGGTGTCAGTAGATCTGCACTGTGGATGCCCGATTGATCCTAGGGGGGTTACAGGCGTGTTCGCCTGGGGGGTTATGGGCGCACTCTGACCCGCAACTTAACAAGCCCTTTTATCCCAATGGTCTAGTGGTTGGGATTCTGACAGATAGATACCTCATTGCCAAGGAGAAAAGCGGTGTTGCCAGTGAATGGATGTGACTGTATGGGACGTGCATTGTCCACGATCTCCACCCCGCATATGCTGCACTCCCTCTCCTACTGCCCACATACAATGGAAATGGTTTGGGATGCGTAGACATGGCACGGGACGGGTAGACACAACACGGCCTGGCGTGCGTGAACATTACAAGTACAAAGGCAGAATTGTTAACAAGATGAAGTCAGTATGGCATGCGCATGTCTTTGCCATGTCACTGGCATGATATCGCAAAGTCAATGCACGCCAATGATACGACATTGGCACGACATCACTACGACACTGGCATGACTTGAAAATAGGTAATGAATGGCAACAGCGTACCATCAGCACCAGGGATGGTTCGAAAGGAGCATTGGTGCAAACATAATGATAAAAATGGTGTAATGACAAGAAGGATGGTGTAATGACAAGAACAGTGCAATAACAAGACTGGTGTGATGACAAGAATATTAATGTTATAGAAACAAGAAATATTGCAGTGACAAAACTTAGCGTAATGACAAAAACTCACAAGATTGATGAAACCAACCTGAAGGTAAGTCTTGGCGTCTGTGAGAGTATTGAAATGCTTCAAGGAGACGTGATCCGCGGCCCCATGACTGCCGAACGCACTGAAGTCCCTCCGACCCACCACCAGGATCTGATGCACGCTGAACGCCGTGGCACTGTGGGATGTGATAATTGGAAGAAGGTTGCAGGGAAGGTGATGTTGAAGGAAGAGGAAAAGAGAAAAGAGAGGAGAGGGATGTGGTTGGAGCGAGGGGAGTAACGGGAGCAGAGGAAGACGGAGCGGAGGAGGCATAGGGGATGAATCTGCACTCTTTAATGCTGAGAAGATGCTACTTGTCACTACTTACACGCACGCACTCAGAGACCAAAAGCTGGTAAGGAAGAAACCACGAACAAAGGTTCTATGCCGCTTTGCCACGTACCTGCGAAGGAGCATGCCGATGTTATGTCTCTTCGCCACGTTATGCACGATCACGTAACATTCTGGCAAACCGCTAGGCGAAGCGGAGGGACCCGCTCTACGCTCGTCTGACGACGCTGTCTCGAACGACCCTGGCGTTTCTCTGGACTTGACGGAACGATCTTCATCCCCGATACAGGCTTGCGGGTCGCTTACAACAGGTTCTAAACTGGTCTCCATGTTTCCCAGGTCCCAAATGTCTGCATGCAAAGCCTACGAAAGGTAAGACTAACCTTTCAGGGGTTGACTGCGTATCTTAAAGCCCGCGTCCCAAATTGCGGGCCGCGAGGGTCAAGTTTTTAAAACTTGACGAAGTTGAGTGTCCAAGCTTTTGAAAGTCACGCACTTGCAATTTGGGACTTTCGAAGACAGATTCACTCACCAGGGGGAAAACCGAGGGTTGGCTGGGTCTCGCGAAAAAACCGAACCTAGACGAAATCGGAAACTCTCGCCAAAGCCCACACCAGAAAAACTCCCTCTAGTCAACTTTTAAAAGCATGAACAATTTGGGCCGCCGGCTTTAAGACTAGAAACTGCTGAAGGATCAGGGAATACGCGTTATCAACACTTCGTCCAAGACAATCGGGATCAAGATCCGTAAAATGCACGGAACTACGCGCAAAGCTACACAACAGGGAAAAAACAAGAAGTTTGAGAACTTCCAGGTGTCATAATGTTTTCTAGACGGTTTATCTAGAAATTAGAGTGGTTGAGTGGTGTTGAGATAAAATGACCACCTTATGTATCACTGTTCCGAAAGCTAAAAAATTACTAACGCCCTAGGAATTGCCCTCCCAGCCCAGCCTGCTCCAGTCCCAGCATCGATGCGCTCCACTTCCCGCCTTTTTTTCGCCGCTCAGCGTCCCTCCTGTTGCCCTGCCGATCCGCGTAATCTCCGTCGCGAGCTATTCGGAACCACTGATTATTGTTGATCTGCTCTCGTTTGTAGCCGCATCGATATGACGGATCACCCCGAGGACGAGGAGTTGGAATTAACATACGAAGTCGAAGATGACGGAGACGCGTTAAAAGCAGGAGAAGGCGAAGCTCATAACGAGGACGAAGAGCGGAAAGGTAGTGTTGGCGGCGGAGCAGCCGGCAGCGGCGGCAACGGCGACGGCGAGAACGTTAGTGGCGGCGGCAGCGGAGGCGGAAGCGGTGATGGCGGAGACCGAGGAGGCCAGGGGGGTGGGGAAGGGGCGATCGCGCACAACGCGCAACCGGGAGGTAACGCGCAAGAGCCGGCGGGGCAAGGGGGAAGCGTAGGCGGAACTTCAGGCGCGGACGGGAGTTCCGCCCAGGCGCATCGTCCCGCGCAGGGCATGGCGGGGCAAGCGGCAAGCGGAGGCGGAAACTCCGGCGCGCAGCAGCAGCAGGGGGGGGGGATGGGTGGAAATGCTGGGCAGATGGCGCAAGGGGAAGGGCAGGGGGTTGGAGGGTTTCAGGGTCAAGGGGGAATGGGGGGAATGGGGGGAATGGGGGGAATGGGGGGAATGGGGCAAGGCGGGATGGGGCAAGGCGGGATGGGGCAAGGCGGGATGGGCCAAGGTGGGATGGGGCAGGGCGGAATGGGACCTGGCGGAGGGGGGATGGGGGCAATGGGCGGAGGAATGGGTGGGGGGGGAGCCGGACAAGGCACTATGGGTCCAGGCGGAATGGGGGGAGGCGGAATGGGGCAGGGGGGAATGGGAATGGGTCCTGGCGGGGGAGGGGGCGGGGGAGGCGGCGGCGGGGGAGGCATGGGCGGAGGGGGAGGGGGAGGGGGAGGCGGAGGGGGTTTTGAGGGGTTGGCGGTGTTTGTGGGGGACCTGCACTGGTGGACGACAGACGCGGACATAGAGGCGGGGGCGTCCGAGTTCGGCAAGGTTGTGGGGGTGAAGTTTTTTGAAGAGAAGGCCACAGGGCGGTCTAAGGGGTACTGCCAGGTGCGTGCCGTGGAGATTAAAGCCATGCGATCCTTTACATAGTGTAACGTAGATTGTATTCCCATTCAGTTCTTGCATTCCTATTCAGTTACTGGTTTCGTTCTCTCTTGTCTCATCCCTGGCCTCCTCCGTTCTGGTTTCTTTTGTGTGTTTCTTGAGCCGAACCCTGCTTGTCGCTCCTCCCTCGCAGGTTGACTTCGCTGATGCAGCAGCAGCGCGTGCTTGTAAAGAGAACATGGCAGGGCGGCTATTCAATGGCCGTCCCTGTATAGTCACACCTGCCACCCCCCAAACCCTAAGGCACCTTGCTATGGCTTCCGCCCAACCTGGCCCCCACATGGGGCCCATGGGGGGAGGTCCGGGGGGGATGGGGGGAGGAATGGGCGGAATGGGGGGAGGCATGGGCGGAGGCATGGGGGGGATGGGCGGGCCAGGGGGGATGGGGGGAATGGGGCCTATGGGTGGAGGGAGAGGAGGTGGGGGTGGGGGAATGGGGAATTTTCCTGGAAGGGGTGGGGGTCCGATGGGGGGCCCGATGGGAATGGGGGGAATGGGGCCAGGTATGGGGGGTATGGGGGGAGGGATGGGAGGAGGAATGGGGGGAGGAATGGGAGGAGGGATGGGAGGGGGGATGGGAGGGGGGATGGGAGGAGGGATGGGGGGAGGTATGGTGGGTCCCATGGGTGGTATGGGCATGGGAGGGGGGATGGGGGCAGGAGGGGGCCCAATGGGTGGGGGAGGGCCAATGGGGGGGGGAATGGGAGGAGGAATGGGAGGAGGAATGGGAGGAGGAATGGGAGGAGGCATGGGGGGAGGCATGGGGGGAGGCATGGGCGGAGCGGGCCCTATGGGGGGAGGTTCTGGGCCAGGGAGAGGCTTTGGGCGCGGGGGAATGATGCCTGGGCGGGGCATGGGGATGGGGGGAAGAGGGGGGGTCGATGGGGGAAGGGGGGGAAGAGGAGGGGCAGGCGGGGACTGGGGTGGAGGGATGGGGGGAGGAGGGGGTATGGGAAGGGGGGGAGGGGGAAGGGGAGCTGGCGCAGGGGGAATGCCCTTCCCCGGAGGGCCCCCTATGGTGGGAGGTGGGGGGTTCGATCCGTCAATCGGCCCAGGGGGGATGGGGGCAGGAGCGGGAACTGTGGCAGGGGGAGGGGGGGGAGGGGGAAGGGGTTTTGTTGGTCCACCAGGGGGAGGGGGAGGCTTCGCCAGGGGAGGCCCTGGGTTCAACCAAATGGGCCAGGCGGGAGGGATGGGGGGAAACATGGGGGGAAACATGGGGGGAGGCATAGGGGCAGGCATGGGGGCAGGCATGGGAGGAGGGTTCCCAAACATGGGCGGTGGTCTGCCTGGTGTTGCTCCCCACATCAACCCAGCCTTCTTTGGGAGAGGAGGGGGAGGGGGAGGAGGGCAAATGGGAGGAGGCGGAGGGGGGATGGGCAGTGCAGATGGTAATATGGGTGGGTGGGAAGGGGGAGGAGGAATGGGAGGAGGAGGAGGATCATGGGGCGGTGGGGGAGGGGGGGAGGCAGGCAAAGGTGGTGGTGGTGCCGCTGCTGGGGGTGGCCTGAACAGTACCACAGGAAGCGGGGAGTATTTCGAAGGCGAGGGAGGGGCGAGCTCTCATAGAGGAGGGGGTGGGAAAAGAGGAGAGAATGCTGAGGAAGGGAATGAATGAACAAGAGGCCTCGTTGGGGTTTGCCAAGGGCAGGGCCTGTTTCTTGGCCTGTTTGTTGAACATATCTGTACTGCACATTGCTTGTCTTAGTTTCTCAACTCAACTGCCTTGGCTTGTTGTACTAACCCCATGCTCCCATCATGCCAAGTGCTTTGTTGTGCACTTGTCCCGCATTGGGATGATAATCTTGAATTATACTTGAGGATGCGCTATTACAGGCCAGGGTTTAGCACAACACTTAGTTCAGTGCACTTGTCCTGCATTGGGATGATCATTGGTATAACAGGCCGTTGACAGCTACGAGGTGGGGAAGGCTAGCATAGCACTTCATGAAATTTGTGGCTAAAGCTGAGCCATATGGAGTGCATCTTGTGGGAGGCACTGCAGGATCGCTTGTTAAAAAACAAGAAATTGCATAAAATGGTTGATTGACATGGAAAGTGGCACGCCATTTATCTTGCTCCTGCTTCCTGCCTTGCTGGTTTCCTGGTGGAGTCTTCTAGTTGGCTGCCAATGTGAAACGGGGACTGTGCACTCAGTGCTGCTGTGCGAGCGTACCGCCGCACATCGTCTCTCTGAGCACCGTTCACTCCTCCTCCACTGGACCCCACTACCCTGCCGGGACGCGCTGCGGGCTGGCCCGCTCCAGCTGCACGTTGGTGTGTGTGTGTGTGTGTGGGCGGTGAATGGAAAACGGGGAGGGTAGAGGAAAAATGAGGGGCTGAAGAGGGCGGCGGACATTCAAGACGGTAGAAGAGACTGAAAAGTGAAATGGTGAAAGAAATCAAAATGTCAACACTAAAAAGTGGTTACAGGGAATGGCAATGAAGAGAGGGGAGGGGGAATGACACTGAAGAGTGGAAAGGGGGAACGGATGAAGAGCGGGGAGGGAAAATGACACTGAAGATTGAGAGCGGGATTAGCAATGATGAGAGGGGATGGGTAATGACACTGAAGAGTGGAGAGGGGGAATGGATGAAGGGCGGAGGGGACACTAGAGTAAGGAGGAGAAGTGATATTAGAAGAGTGACGTATAGGTAAGTCGGAAACAAGAAGGGAGGAAGGAACCTGGGAAATGGGGAGGTGCGGGAGATTCTGACATCAGGAAGTGGACCAGATTGGGGAAATGTGGGTGGAGATGGGTCCGTTGAATGAGTGGAACTAGGTCATTGACAGGTATGAGCAAAATTACAGGCACAAGTCCTTCAGATTCGCTCGAGGAGTCATTGTTGCGTACCCTTGTATCCTGATTGTGCCCATGCCCTTTGCTGCCTTGCTGCTCTTCGTCTTCTCTCCTCTTCCAACTGAGCCTCATCCCGTGGTTCATTCCTCTCACCAGCAACACGTTCCCTGATAACGCAATCAACAAGTTCCAAAAGTCAGCTCTGAAAGAAAACCCTCGAAACCCAGCGAGGCAGCAAAGGGCATGGGCTTGAGCAATGTGAGCTATTCATGATGACATGCGTACCTTGGGAGGGAGGCATGCTGGCGCTCCAGTGACGGTGCATCACCCGCCTTGCCATAATGCTCTTCTAGGGTGTGGAACTGACGTCGGAACTGGTCGACAGCACTGCACGGCCCCACACAACATAGCAGTCCAGAATTTGAGTGCAGAACAGACCACATTTGAGTGCACACTCTCCAGGAGATACACCATAGGGCACTTTAGAGCGTCAGTCCTTCGTCCATATGGTTAATATTCTTTTCATGAAAATGAAATCGTCTTGTTCAAGTTCCCCAGTGTGTACTGAAGATGATCAGATTATCCCAGGGAAACGTAACGCCACACTAGTCCTTCCCCATGCAACACGCCATAACCGCCATACCTTGGATACAGAAAGTTCCCGGGGTCCGTCCCGTTGAGGAAGTCCTTCAGCATCTGAGGATGATACTCCAGAATCTGCAATCAGGTAAAAGGGGTTGTGAAGCCCTGTGTCACGGACAGCAAGGAAAGCTGGATTGATAAGACAACACATTCATGCCATACCTCGCGGTAGATGAGCTCTCTGACATCGTCCATGTTCAGTCTTCGCCTCTCAAACTCAAATTCCACCTTGGTGATGGGTTGAGCCGCAGGTTCTCTTTCAACCTTGGCCAGGCCCTTGAAATAAGGGTCAGCAAGAGCCTGCAAAAGGTGAGTTCTCGTTTAGTCGAATCCCCATGACTGCAAATGCCACAAAATAGACCTTAACGGCCAACAGTTATGTACCTCCTCTGCAGTCGGCCTGTGTGTTGGGTCGAATGCGAGCATCTTCTCCATCAGCTTCACAGCAAGCGGGTCCGCGTTCGGGCACTTCGCCGACAATGGCATTGGTTGCTTCTTCCGCATGCTCCCAAGGTATCTCCGTGCCTTCTCGTTTCGAACCTGGCACAGAAATACGCGAGGTGTTCAGACAATGCTACGAAATGCGCAGGATGATGTTTCCCAAAACCAGCTTTGGCTGTCACCTTGGCGATCGACTCTGGTGAAGGCGTTCCCAGAAGGTCGGTCATGAGCTCCAGTTGATGGACCACATTCTTCCCAGGAAACAACGGTTTCCCGGTAAGAAGCTCGGCGAAGATGCACCCTATGCTCCAGATGTCAATGGCGGGAGTGTACTGTTATCAGACGCGAAAAACAACGTGAGCGGAAGAAAACTAGGATACGTTAGAAATGAACCAGCGGAAAGACGGATACCTTCGAGAAGAAAGAGCCACACAGTTCAGGCGCTCTGTACCATCTCGTGGCCACGTAATCCTGAAAAGTGGACCGACAAATGCACGAATTAGCCAAGTCTGAAGTAAAAGGCTGCTGGACTCTCCGCGGGAACCTTATCGAGAGCACATCGACAACGAAACTAAAGAATGAGGGACACAGCAAGTGTCATACCGTCCAGAAAATGGCCGTTGGCGCATCGCTGAAAGCAACCCTAGCCAAGCCAAAGTCGCATATCTTTAGTTTACAGTCGGCGTTTGCCAGGATGTTCTTCGGCTTCAAGTCTCGGTGGAACACGTTGGCTGAAAAGGACGGAAGGCGCGAAATTAGAATTCGAGCTTACTATAGAAACACTTATTAACGAATCTCGAGACATAATGTGCAGTACCTGTGTGGATGTACTTCAGAGCTCTCAGCAGCTGATAGAGGAAGAACTGGAAGTGCTCAGGTGTAAGGTCATCGTTCGCCTTAATTACTTGATGAAGGTCAGATTCCATCAGCTCAAAAACGACATAGATGTCCTTGAAATCTCGCCGTGACGGAGGAAGCATGATGTGCTTGATCTCCACTATATCAGGGTGACGGAGCAACCTAAGGAGCTTGATTTCGCGAAGAATCCTCGTGGCGTCTGACACGTGCTCGAATATGTCATTAATCTTCTTAATCGCGACCTTCTCCCCTGTGTGCGTATCTATGGCTGAACAAACGATGCCATAGCTGCCTCGGCCTATCACCTCCAATAGACGGTACTTGCTAGCTTCTCCGTACTCCGTAAAAAACTCCCGCTCGTCCATTATCTGAGTGTGATTGAACTATTCGTTAAGTTTAGGAAGTGATTCGCGCGAACGAAACGAGGCGGCCAGTCGTCCAGTCGGACCAATCAATCGTGTAACCTAAAGCTCCCTCAACATAAGTTTTCGAAATTCGCCCAAGGAGATTAGATCTTGGGAACCAACAACAAGCTACTCACAATCGTATAACTTTAGGAACAGCGACTTCGAAGGAGATACCTCCTCCAGAATCACTATATCGTACTTGCCTAGGCCAAAACGCTCACACTGGACGTTGTGAACCTCCTGCTTGCTTCATCTACTAAACGACTACAAATTGCCATCATGCTCGTCCCCCTGCTGACCATATTCTGCTCCACCCAACAACACGGAGCTGAGGAAAAGCATCCAAGCCCTGTGCGATTATTGGGATTTCCCCCTCTTCGCCCGCCCTAGGCTTGACCCACCTTTTCGCTACGCTTCGCCGCGCAACGTTCAAAAGAATCTACGCCGTCTAGGCAAATCGGGGAATTGATATCGGTCCTTGGATGCCTTTATTTCCCAACGGAAAGTTGGGTGTGGTGCTGGATGACCATCAGCGGCAAGCCCGTGGTTTGGAGGGCTGTGCAAAGTGAGGACAGCAACAGCCTGTCGAGGCCACGGTGCCCATACGCGGCGGTGGAAGGTTTCCCGCGCAGGCAGGGTGAAGGTTCGGCTCCGAAAGGCGACGTACCTGCGGGCCGAACCTAGATTGTGGGTGACTTTTTTGGCTCGTGAACTCAATTCGGCCAGGTCGAGGGCCAATGCGCAACGGTTCGGCCAACTAGACGAAATCCGAACAAGGTAGAAACGTGTCGACAAATGTCAGGCAGCCACATAAACCTGGTCCTTCACAAACAACTCGATATACGCAGCAGAGCCACGATTCAATAACTCGTTAGTATTCGGATTTCGGAACAACCTTAAGGGCAATATGATATTTCCTCTATTTTTCTCTGCATGTTATCGAGGCTCGCAATCACAGGGATATAGACTAGAAACTAGTCAGGTTGCATCAAGCAGCATTGTCATCACTCCCTTGTCCTTACTAACTAGGACACGCTGATTCCATGGCCTCCTACTGCACGCCTATAGCTACTGCGCAGCCTTTTTCACATACCTCTCGTGTATATAATCTTGGTCCGTATGCAAATCCCAGTCACATCAGAGCGTCGTCGTCATTATGCCCTCGAAACCACCGTAGTTGCCTTGTAACAGATTCGATCGTGAGGGTACGAAAAAAATTCGCGACGACAGAATGCTTTCCGTATGTTCGAAGTCGACATCTCGCCCTACACCCTTCTCGTTCGTCGACCAGCTTATACCGCAAAGCTTCAAGATCATTAAAATCATCCCCGAGCTGGAAATGCTTCAGCGCCCAGTGTCACGACAACAGCGGAAGCAGAAGCAGCAGCAGCGGCAGCAGAAGCACCAGCAGTGGCAGTGGCAGCGGCAGCGAGAGTGCAGTGGATCCAAAGGCCGTTTCGCCTCAATCAAATCCGCTGATTCAGGCCAGACGAGCCAAACCAGGACACTTTCCTGGTGAAGAGGTGCGATCCCTGAAAGGTTTTGTAATGGCGTAGGCACAGTCGCTTTGCTCCTTTTGATCGTTATCTGGCCTCCTTTTGTTAGCTATAGTGTGCTAATCCACCCCTCGGTCCCTTGCTCGCCTTTGACTCATCCTGTTGCTGCTTCTCAGGAGATCGGAGCAGAGAGAGGGGAGGGATTTGCCACTTTTCGACCCAAAGGAGCTCTGCAAGTTGACGTGGTGAGCTGTGATTGGTGCATGACTAATTCTTTTCCTTCCAGGTTCAAACTAATGCTTCTCTCAGTTCGGCTCCATCCAGCTTAACACACCAGCTGGCTCTGACCCAAACCTTCCCCTTTCCCCTTTTAAATCGCCGTTGTCAGGATTTCCTTAATGATCGTATGAGGAAGAGAGGGGTGGACAGGATACGCCTTGCCATGCGACCAGACGAGGCATTTGGACTCGTGTACTCCTGGGACAATGTCATTGTATGTTTCTCAATTGAATTTTCGGCATTGAACGTTGTGTTGTCATGGGTGATGTGCTCTGAGGCGCTTGTACTCCATGGGGCATATGTCTTTGGGTGGATTTGGTTGTGCATTTGTACATTATGCAATAGTACATAAACTTGTTGGTCTCGTCCGTTGATAATATCCACAAATTTCTGTGCGTCTTTTTGACTGCATGTGATGTGATCAGGCCAACACCCGAGATCTGAGATTTGAAGCTTGGAAGCAGCTGGCAGAGGAAGTAGGTGAGCCGGCCAACGGCTTAGGTCAAGAGACAGTGGCGTCACTGTACCACTGCCTTCCCCACTGCCCTAAGGCAGGGGCGTCACTGTACCACTGCCTTCCCCACTGCCTTTCATGCACTCTATTTCAATGCTACTGACCTGTCGAAGCAGTTGGCAGAGGAAGTAGGTAAGCCATCAAGTTAATGTCAAGACACGGAGGCATCACTGTGCCACGCCACTTCCTTTCCCCCTGCCTTCCTAAGTGCCCTTCCCACGACCCGTTCCACTGCCTTTCATGCACTCTATTTCAATGCTACTGACCTGTTGTGTCCGTGATGTCTAGTTCATGCATTCTCCTTCTTGCACTGACCGTTCACTTGTTGTACTCTCATCTCTCTCTCCCTCTCTCACTCTCTCCATTCATTCACAGGGAAGCCTCTGCCCGACTCTCCTTCCTCACTCCGCCAGCTCTCAACCGCCTCTCCTTCCCACTGCATCAAATCAGTGCGCCCTTCCAACTCTGCCACCCTCCCACCTACTCTTTCTCTTCTTCTCACCCCTTCAACCCCTCCTACGTTTCTTACCCATTCAAGGTTCGTTCATAATTCCCATGTCTCCAGCACCTTTCCTTCATTCTTATTCCCCAGTCATCCCCATCTTGGCGCACTCTTCCAATCGCATATCTCTGCGCCCCTGTCTTCTCCAGATACAACCCTGTATTACTGTGCCTGCGCGGCCCATCCTCCTCCCCCAAGGATCAAGATTCATGATGGGAGTAGCAGCGAACTTGTGAGAAAACGCTTAGCAGCAACCCTGTATTACTGTGCCTGCGCGGCCCATCCTCCTCCCCCGTCCTCTCCTCACAGGTGCTTTTCTGGGCATCAGACGAGCCCACCATTGCGTCGCTCAAAGACAGGCTTTCTGAGCTTTACTGCCGCCAGCTCTCCAAGGTAAGCTCTGCGTATTTGGTGTGAGACGTCTCAAGATGAGTCCACCATTGCGTCTCTTAAAGACAGGCTCTCTGAGCTCTACTGACGCCAGCTCTCCAAGGTAAGCTCTGCTGCCCTCCTCCCTCCCTGTGAAAGTATATTAGATTTGAGATGTCTCAAAATGCGCCCACCGTTCTGCTGCTCAAGTACTGACTCTGTGAGCTCTACTGCCGCCAGGTCTCCAAGGTTCACTCCCCGCCTTCCTCCCCTTCCACCTCCCTCTCACTCACACATGCTTTTACAACAAGCACAGGTGCGAGCGCCACTGGAGGGCGTGCAGGAGTGGCTTGATGCGTTACAGAAGGCGGGGGTGCCGTGTGCCGTGGCCATGCCCATCGACCGCCTCACTCTGCTCTCTGCTCTGCCCTATGGCAATTCTTGATTTGAACCCTTAATCCTCATCCCTCTCCACCCTCCCCTCCAAGCAGGTGCGAGCGCCACTGGAAGGCGTGCAGGAATGGCTGGATGCGCTGCAGAAGGCAATTCTCGTTTTGACCTTTGATGGTCTCCCGTGATTTGTTTCACCAGGTGCGAACGCCACTGGACGGTGTGCAGGAATGGCTGGACGCGCTGCAGAAGGCGGGAGTGCCGTGTGCCGTGGCCACTTCCATCGATCGCCTCACACTGCTCTCTGCCCTCGACCGAATGAAGCTGCTGCACCACTTCCAGGTACCCAAACGGTTTTTGCACCGCTTTAAAGTTGTGCACTTGGCCATATGAATGAAGCTGCTGCATCATGCCTCTCTTGCTCCCACCACCAGGCGTTCGTGACATTCCACCACATTGCTTCCATCCCAATCCCACTTTTTTCTTGGGATTGGTACTTTTTGGAAAGTCGCCCTCGCCTCCCCCGTTCCCAGTACCCAGGCGTTTGTGACAGGAGAGGATGACATGGGAGTCGATAGCCCACCGCATTGTCTTCCATTCCAATTTCACATAACATAACTTTTTGGAAAAACGCCCTCTCCTCTCTTGCTCCCACCACCAGGCGTTTGTGACAGCTGAGGATGACATGGAGTCAATGGCTCATCGGTTCCTCTCTGCCGCTGTCAAGGTCAACCACCCTTCTCTTCCTCATTACTCCCCGTTCTCCTTCTCTTCCTCATTACTCCCTGTTCTCCTTCTTCCTCTTGCTCTTGTGCATCCATCCACTCCATCTGTACATTGTCCAATGCAACCTGCTTTTCTTCTTGAGTTCCTGTTTTGGTCGTCCGTGGCATGCCTTCTCGCTCAATCCACGTTCCATTCTTCTCCTTTCCTAGGTCTCACTCCTTTTCTAGTCCATGTTCCTTATCCCCCGCCCTTCCGCGTGTCTTTTTCATCCTCCAACCAGCTGGACCGAGCACCAGCCAAGTGTGTGGTGTCTGAGGATGACCTGAGGGGAATCACAGCAGCACGAAGGCTGTGGCTCTCAAATTATGTTCCATTCTTCCTTCCCTCTCCCCTTTCGCATGCTGTTGGCATCCTTGAATCAACCAGCTGGACAGAGCGCCAGCCAAGTGTGTGGTGTTTGAGGATGACCCGAGGGGAATCACAGCAGCGCACAACTGCAGCATGAAGGCCGTCGCTCTCATCGGCACACACCCTGCGTGAGCATAGCTGCTGACTTTTCACTTTTCCTCATCAACTTACACCCATGCATGCATATGCATCCGCCCTCATTGATACACACTGTTGTTATACTTGTAATGTGAAAGGAGGTGGTGACACTTGTTTGTGAATCGCCACATGTCTGTCGTTTCCTATCATCCTCCTCTCACCCACCTCTCCCCTTCTCTCTCGGTTCTCCCCACACCCCCCTCTTCCACTTTTCCCCGGGTCTCAACTTACAACCAGGTATGAGTTGAAACAGGCGGATCTGGCAGTGTCTAGCTACGCGGAGCTGTCGGTGATTAATCTGCGTAGACTGTTTGCAAACAGAGGGCACGGAATAGAGCACATGGAGCTGAAGAAGCAGAGGGAGGGGCAAGGGCCAAAGAAACGGCGCTGGCACACTGACACCCTGTACTGAGTGTGTGCCTGTACAGAGTGTAGCTTTGGCAGAATGGCATTTTTAAAAAAACTAGAAAATGTGTTCTATATTAGATATCTGAGCTGTACAAGGAAATATCTTGTACTCTGTATAACTAAACGGCGGAAAACATTCCGCTTGTGACACTTGGTTGTGGTCTCCTTCCCCTCGCAAGTCCCCCTCGACTCAAGCCATCCCAGAGGTGCCGAAGAGCCGCAGAATGCCGTACGTGATTCCCATCGCAAGCCATCCTCCTGCTGTGGTTCGCGCGGCGGCTCGTAACTTGTTCGCTCCGCCAAGCCATGCGCCGAGCATGCCAAAGCCGATAAACGTCAGAGTTGTCACTACTAGAAGAACCACGAGTTGCGCGACGTGGTCCTTTATAAACGCGGCGGATAATAACGGGATGATTGCTCCGACGATGAACGCCGCGGCGGATGCCAGAGCAGCTTGTAACGGGTTCGAGAGGTCGTCCATATCGATTCCCAACTCGTCGCGGGCGTGTGCGCGAACAGGGTCGACTCGCGAAAGCTCCTCTGCGACTTCGCGTGCGAGTCTGTGCGACAATCCGCGCGAGACGTAAATCTGCGCCAACTCCTCCATCTCCCGCTCGACTGCTTCCGGGCCTTTGAGAAATTCCTCTCTTTCCTTTTGCACGTCCGCTTCTTCTACATCGCGTTGGCCATAAACGGAGATGTACTCGCCGATCGCCATGCTGCACGCGCCGCCGACAAGCCCGGCCAATCCGGAGATGACAATCTGGCTGCTGTCGACGGCGCCGACGCCGACCATGAGCGACGCGACCGACACGAGCCCGTCGTTGGCGCCGAGAAGCGCGGCGCGAAGCCATGGCGCGCGGTGCGAGAGGTGCACGTGGCCGCACTCATGGTCAGGGGTAGACTCGGAAACGCGAACTGTTATGGCCTCGTTCGTCAAAAGGGAATTCTCTCTCGGAGGACTGGCGCTCTGATCGCTAGGCTGTTGATTGTTGTCTTCTGTTGCGTTAGCCGAGGGATTTTCGCCCGACATGTTGTCAGATAGGATAGCCTTCGCAGGGATGCAGAAGGTTAGATAGTGTGGAGGGCGTCAAGCACGAGGCCGGAGGAAGAGGCGAAAGAGCAACAGGCGTGGCGAGAGGAGAATTGCTGTGAGGAGGAGCTGAAGAAAAGAGCTGGATGAGTGAAGTGAAATGATAATTGGTTTGTGGGAGGTGGTGTAGTGGTGATATAGGAGGGTGGAGTGGAGTGGAGTGGAGGGAGGAGGGGGAAGACCAACAGGGAACAGCTCTGACAACAGCACGGGAAGCACGCAAAGACCACGTGCAGGTGCGGAATGCCGAGCCTGTCTCGGAGCTGCTCAACCGCCTAGGTTTCGCGCAAACCTACGGTATTGACTACGTGGCCAATCAGTATTTGGCGGAAGCACAATCAATGCCAAGTCACGTCAATTAGCACCTGGTTACGATTTCCTTTCAAGGGAGAAAGCTGCGTACGTGGCAGAAGCGATTGGTTTTGCGTGGCGATGGTTGCACACACGAGCTGCCCAGCTGTGACCAGCGCATGTTCGACGTGTGGTCTCCTCGAGAGAGTTTTGCTCAATTCCGCGGAGTCGCGGTTCGTTTTATTATCGCTACGTGGCGTGCCTTCGATCGCGTGAGCCGCGATCTGTTTTATTGTTACCACAGACTTCTAGAGAAATTTAGTTAAGTTCTGTACTGCGCTGCCCGCGGGCAAAAATAAAACCCATTCGGGCCTGGCATGCGTTAGGGAGGCATCAACCCTAAACACCTTGCCTCTAGGTGTTTAGGGTTGATGCATCCCTAACGCATGCCTTACCCATAGGGGTTTTATTTTTGCCCACGGGCAGCGCAGTACAGAACTTAACTAAATTTCTCTTGAAGTTTGTGATAACAATAAAACAGATCGCGGCTCACGCGGTCATAGGCTCGCCACGTGGAAAAAATAAATCAAACCGCGCTTCCGCGGAATCGAGCAAAATTCTCTCTCCTCGAGGATTGCTTGCTGCAGCGGCTTTTAGTCGGTGGATCGCTGATAATAGCGAGTTGTTTGTGGAAGGTGCGCGGGAAATCAGGAAAATCTTGTTCGTCACAAGCTTACCCGTAGTAAGCAAGGTGTATACAGATTTCAGAAGCACTAAACACCAATGAAATCCATATAGGTGGACTTGTTTCTCTCCCATCAGCTTTCAGAAGCACTAAACACCTCCTCATCACTAGTTCTTCATTACTCACGTTATAAGCTGGATTTGTTCACTAGTAATGAAGAGGTCCATATAGCGTATACTGATTACTTATCTGCGCAGGAGTTTCCAAGGTCCAAATTCGCGCTTGTGTCGAACCCCGCCTGCGCCCATGGCGCCTCATCCTGTCAGGCTGGTTCTTAGCGGAGTACGGCGCGCCTCGACTCGCCGAGCCGTAGCAAAAAAGAGATCGACCAATAGCATCACGTACGCTTCTGGCACTAGTCCTCCTTCGCAGAGGCATATTGACGTCACCGTCTATCCTGACGTCCCAGTCACCGTTAATCGGCTCCACATATCCGCGAACTCACCTGCTCTTCCATCGACTACACCTCCGCAGCAGCAGCCGAGCTTCTTCAGGAGATGCTCGTCTCTCCTTGAGTCGGGCACTCCGTCTTCGTCATACAGTCACTCGGAACACAATCACACCGAGTACAGTCACGGTCTGAACACTCGTCAGGCACAAGGTCACCGTTTTCCTGATCAGCCTATCGTTAGGATTCTGCCTTACAGCGTGGGTCTGAAATCAGGATCTGGCAGTTCCTCGCTTTTCCGATCGCCTACGAATTCGCCTTTCCCGTTTAGAGCTGCCCTCCCTGATGCTTCGTCGCCCGTTGTTGCGTATTCCACCTCCACCTCGTTACAGTCACGCTCGTTTGGTGAAGCGAGCGACCGATCCGATGCGTCGGGACCAGTCCACGATGGATCGAACCCTAAACCTGGGGATCTTCTCTCCGCTGACGTGTCCTCGCCGGATTCGTCTGGTTCCAGCCCGGAAGATAGCGTGCCAGTGACAAAGAGGGGGAGACCGAGGAAGAGAGTGACTAGCAGCGCCAGCAGCGATGCGAGCAGCAGTGCAAGCAGCAATGGCAGCAGCAGTGCTATCAGTAGTGACACGATCAGTAGTGACATTATCAGAAGTGACACTGCCAGTGGGGTTGACAATGCGGACGGCAGCAGCGGCACCAATGGCAGCAGCAGCGGTGGCAGCAGTAGCATCACGCGGGGCAGGAAGAAGCGCGCTGGCGGGAAGAGTAGCAACGGCGGCGGGGGCAGCGGTGGCGGCGGTGGCGGGGGTAGCACTGCGGCTGTTAGCACAGTAACGGTATCCGCGGATAGTGACACAAACGGGAGCAGCGATGTGACTATAGAGGGGGCGAAGCTGGTTCTGGAAGAGCCAGTGCTGGCCGGCGATGTGAGTATAGCGGGGGAGAAGCAGGTGTGGCAAGGCGAGGACGAGGAGGACTCGTGGGAGATGGATGCGGAAGCGGAGGTGACTGTAATGAGGGCCGTGGATGAAGGGACGGCGCCCAAGCCTCCCCCTCTAAGCAAGAGCGACAGGGAGCGAGTCAACAACGCACTGAAGCACTTCGCCACACGGGGGTATGTTTGGAAAATTCGTTAGTGGAACATATCACATCGCTTTCTCTTTATCCATGTCAGGAAGGAAGCACTGTTATGGTTAGCAGACGTTCGCTCCCTCTTCCCCCCCACGTCTCCTCTCCACCCCATTACCCGAACGCTCTGCCCTCCACCCTCCCGCCCGGCCCACACCCTGAACCCAAAACCTTCAACGACGCTCCATCCGTCTTGTTTTCCCTCTGCTCCTGCCTCATCCCTCCCTCGTGCAGGTGGGCAGCGGAGCAGGCACTGGCCATATACATCCCATCGCGCTTCTTCCCCACCATTACCCCCTTGCTTTCCTCCCTTCCTTTCCTGTCCCCCTCATGCACTGTGCAGGTGGGCAGCGGACCAGACACTGGCAATCTACATCCCTTTGCGCTTCTTCCCCACAGCGGCCTCCAAGTTCCGCCGTTTCGTGCTGCGCTGCTGCCGCCCCGCCCTCACCCCCCGTGTTTTCCCTTTCTCACTTCCCTGCAGGTGGGCAGCGGACCAGGCACTGGCAATCTACATCCCCTCGCGATTCTTCCCTACAGCGGCCTCAAAGTTCCGCCGCTTCGTGCTGCGCTGCTGCTGCCCCGAGCTCGCCTCTGCGCTCGCACACATGGGCGCGGGGAGGGACGCGGACGAGTTTCTGTTCCCGCTCTTTGCGGAGTTCTGCTTCGGGGAGTTCCCAGAGGAGATTCGGAATTACCGGGATCTGGTGAACTCGGCGGATATGACCAAGCCCCACGTGTGGTATGTGACGTGGTGCGGGGTGCGGTGCGGTGCGGTGCGGTGTGGTGCGGTGCGGTGTGATGTGGTGTGGTATACCACGTTGGCCCCACCACTAGCAGCATAACAAACCCCACCCTGCCTTCCTGTCAGGTGCATTCCCTGTCCTGCCTCACCTTCCTTCCATCCCCCACCCCCATATCACCCACAAGGTACCCCCAGGCGAGGGCCATGCCGCGCAATGTGGGGTACCACATGGGCCCCACCAACACCATTGCTACCCTGCCTCCCTCTGCCTCCCCCTTGCTTTCCTCCCTCCTTCCCTCCCTTCCTCGTACCACTTATCAGGTATCCCCAGGCTCGTGCAATGCCCCGCAAGGTGCTATACCACATGGGCCCCACCCCACCAACAGCACTGCCTCTCCGCCTCCCTCTGCCTCCCTCCCTTTGCTTTCTTCCCTGCTTCCATCCCTACCTCCCTCCTTCGCATCTCCCATCACGTACCCCCAAGCAAGGGCCATCCATCGCAAGGTGGTATACCACATGGGCCCCACCCCACCAACAGTGCCAAGACAGGCCTCCATCACCCTGCCCTGCCCTGCCTTGCCGTCCTGTCAACTGCATTCTCTGCCCCTCCTTCCCGCATACCAGGTACCCCCTATGTTGCGGAAGACGCGTCTTGCGTCTTAGACGGATGCGTCTAGACGCAGCGTCTTAGACGCAAGACGCATTTCAGTGCCGAAAAGACGCATATTAGACGGAAACCCGGGCAGGCCTAAAAAAAAGGTTCGGGCAGCCTAAAAAACTTCTGTGGGCAGTGGGGAGGGTGATGGACATGCACATATGTCACATTAGGGGCAAAGTTTCCCCGTACCATAGAATTTTCCCTATACTTTGAGTGAACTTGCAAAACCCTAAAGGGTTTTTGAACGAGAATTGGTAGAAATGAGAGATGGGGTGCACAAATGGGGGCTTTGTGCTCCCCAACCTCTTGGTGGTTTGATTTGCCTCAATAGGTTCGGTTTTCTAGATGTTGTGCGGTGCAGTGCGGTGTTTGTTCAAATTTGGTAGGGGGGGGGGTATCAATTTTGCAAGGGGGGCTGGTTTGTATGGTCGAAATGGGTGGGATGGGGTTCAGGTGGCGCGAAATTGAATTTCGCCTTGAAGTCGCGAAATTCGATTTCGGCCGCGGATTTTTGTTTTTTTCCGGGCTGACCGACATTTTTTTTGCCAAGCGTCTTGCGTCTAAACACGCGTCTTGCGTCTTGCGTCTAGACGCTGCGTCTAGACGCAAGACGCAAGACGCGTCGTGCGTCTTCCGCAACACAGGGTACCCCCAGGCGCGCGCCATGCCTCAACGTGGTATACCACATGGGCCCCACCCCACCAACAGTGCCAAGACAGGCCTCTATCGCCCTGCCTTGCCGTCCTGTCCACTGCATTCTCTGCCTTCCTGCCAACCACATTCCTAAACCTCAAACCCTGAACCCAGGTACCCCCAGGCACGTGCCATCCCTCGCAAGGTGGTTTACCACATGGGCCCCACCAACAGTGGCAAGACGCACCGGGCGCTGGTCAGGTTCAAGGAAGCTTGCTCCGGCACCTACTGTGGGCCGCTCAGGCTGTTGGCCATGGAGGTATGGAGGGGTGGAGGGAGGTGTGGAGGGGTGGAGGGAGGCATGGTGGGGTGGATGGAGGTATGGGATGGATGGATGGAGGTATGGGATGGATGGAGGTATGGGGTGGATGGATGGAGGTATGGGATGGATGGAGGTATGGGGTGGATGGAGGTATGGTGGGGTGGATGGAGATGTGGTGGGGTGGATGGAGATGTGGTAGGGTGGATGGAGGTGTGAAGGGGTGGATAGAGGGATGGGGTGGTGACATAGAAGTCATATAGTAGCCGCGAACCACCGCGTGCCTTCCCCACCCGCACCGCACTCCCCATTCCCCACTCGTGGCAGGTGTTTGATCGTGGGAACGCGGACAGGGTGTACTGCAATCTGGTGACACGAGAGTCAAACCGCATCACATCCAAACCACCCCTCCCACTCCCCACTCCTCTCAGGTGTTTGACCGGGTGAACGCAGACGGGGTGTACTGCAATCTGGTGACGGGGCAGGAGAGGAAGGATTTTTAGCAGGTGCATCAATCCTCATCACACCTGGACCACCCCTTTTTCTCCCCACCTGTCCCACTCCCCACTCCCGGCAGGTGTTTGACCGGGTGAACGCAGACGGGGTGTACTGCAATCTGGTGACGGGGCAGGAGAGGAAGGAGATGCCCTTCGCCCACCACACAGCCTGCACCATTGAGATGGCCAACCTGTCTACCCCTGTGGACGTGGCGATCATTGATGAGATTCAGGTATGTCTGCTGCACACAAGAGGCCTCACCAATCAGGGAATCAGTGGTATGGATGCCCAACAGGAGATGCCCTTCGCCCACCACACGGCGTGCACCATCAAGATGGCCAACCTGTCAACCCCTGTGGACGTGGCGATCATTGATGAGATTCAGGTACTCAAAGGGTGATCTGGCAATAGGATCTAGGCGGTGGGGTGGTGTGCTCAGATATTGCTGCTCTGTTTCGCCCACCACACGGCGTGCACCATCGAAATGGCCAACCTCGCCACGCCTGTGGACGTGGCAGTCATTGATGAGATTCAGGCACACAGGAAGTTGCACCCTGCAGGTAATGGCAGTGATTGGCGTGGTGTGCTCACAGGCGCGGCTCGGGTGGCCCACCACACAGCTTGCACCATCGAAATGGCCAACCTCTCCATGCCTGTGGACGTGGCAGTGTGTTTATGTCGGTGTGTGTGGGTGTGTTTTTCCTTTATTTGTGTGTTAGTGGGTTCTTTTTTATGATTAAGCGTTACCCCTCCGTGCTGCCCTGAAAGATGGGGGAATAGCATACGGTTCGCTTCGCCCTGACCCCCCTTTTCCCCATCCCCTCTCCTCTCGTATTACCAAACCCCACCCCTCCTTCGTTCTCAGATGATAAGTGATGACTACAGAGGGTGGGCGTGGACACGAGCCCTCCTGGGAGTGCAAGCAGCGGAGGTGCACGTGTGTGGCGACCCCTCCGTGCTGCCCCTCCTGCGAGCCATCTGTGACGCCACTGGGGACGCCTTCGAGTGCCACCATTACCACCGCTTTGCACCGCTCACAGTGGACCAGGTAGCTCTTTCTTCCTTTCTGTCTAGCTGATCAGTCATGTGTGTCGGGCTGATGCTAGTTTCTGAGTCAACTCAGAACTGGATTGCCAGTTTTTTTGCTGTCCCCAACCAGACGAGTTCTGCGGTGCGACTTCTGAGGCGCTTATAAAGGCGTGTGGGTGGGTGAGTGGGTGGGTGGGTGGGTGGGCTGGTGAGTAGGTTTGTTTCCGGGTTTGCTTCCCGGTTTCCCGGTTTAACGGTTTCCCGGTTTCCCGGTCCTGGTTTCTCAGTTTCCCGGTTTCCCGGTCCTGGTTTCTCAGTTTCCCGGTTTCCCAGTTTGTTTCCCGGTTTCCCGGCTTCCCGGTTTCCCGGTTTGTTTCCCGGTTTCCCGGTCTCCCGGTTTCCCGGTTCGTGTCCCGGTTTCCCGGTTTCCCGGTTTCGCGGTTTCGCGGTTTCCCGGTATCCCGGAATCCCGGTATCCCGGTTTCGCGATTTCGTGGTTTCTCGGTTTCGCGGTTTCCCATTATCGCGGTTTCCCGGCATCCCGGTTTCCCAGTTTCCCGGTATCCCGGAATCCCGGTATCCCGGTTTCCCGGCTTCCCAGTATCCCGGTTTCGCGGTTTCGCAGTTTTCCGGTATCCCGGTTTCCCGGTTTCCCAGTATCCCGGTTTCCCGGTTTCCCAGTATCCCGGTATCCCGGTTTCCCGGTTTCCCAGTATCCCGGTTTCCCGGTTTCCCAGTATCCCGGTTTCCCGGTTTCCCAGTATCCCGGTTTCCCGGTTTCCCGGTATCCCGGAATCCCGGTTTCCCAGTATCCCGGTTTCCCGGTTTCCCAGTATCCCGGTTTCCCGGTTTCCCAGTATCCCGGTTTCCCGGTTTCCCAGTATCCCGGTTTCCCGGTTTCCCAGTATCTCGGTTTCCCGGTTTCCCAGTATCCCGGTTTCCCGGTTTCCCAGTATCCCGGTTTCCCGGTATCCCGGAATCCCGGTATCCCGGTTTCGCGATTTCGTGGTTTCTCGGTTTCGCGGTTTCCCAGTATCGCGGTTTCCCGGCATCCCGGTTTCCCAGCTTCCCGGTATCCCGGAATCCCGGTATCCCGGTTTCCCGGCTTCCCGGTTTCCCGGTTTCGCGGTTTCGCGGTTTCGCGGTTTTCCGGTATCCCGGTTTCCCGGTTTCCCAGTATCCCGGATTCCCGGTTTCCCAGTATCCCGGTATCCCGGTTTCCCGGTTTCCCAGTATCCCGGTTTCCCGGTTTCCCAGTATCCCGGTTTCCCGGTTTCCCAATATCCCGGTTTCCCGGTTTCCCAGTATCCCGGTTTCCCGGTTTCCCAGTATCCCGGTTTCCCAGTATCCCGGTTTCCCGGTTTCCCGGTATCCCGGAATCCCGGTTTCCCAGTATCCCGGTTTCCCGGTTTCCCAGTATCCCGGTTTCCCGGTTTCCCAGTATCCCGGTTTTCCCGGTTTCCCAGTATCCCGGTTTCCCGGTTTCCCAGTATCCCGGTTTCCCGGTTTCCCAGTATCCCGGTTTCCCGGTTTCCCAGTATCCCGGTTTCCCGGTTTCCCGGTATCCCGGAATCCCGGTATCCCGGTTTCGCGATTTCGTGGTTTCTCGGTTTCGCGGTTTCCCAGTATCGCGGTTTCCCGGCATCCCGGTTTCCCAGTTTCCCGGTATCCCGGAATCCCGGTATCCCGGTTCCCGGCTTCCCGGTTTCCCGGTTTCGCGGTTTCGCGGTTTCGCGGTTTTCCGGTATCCCGGTTTCCCGGTTTCCCAGTATCACGGTTTCCCGGTTTCCCAGTATCCCGGTATTCCGGTTTCCCGGTTTCCCAGTATCCCGGTTTCCCGGTTTCCCAGTATCCCGGTTTCCCGGTTTCCCAGTATCCCGGTTTCCCGGTTTCCCAGTATCCCGGTTTCCCGGTTTCCCAGTATCCCGGTTTCCCGGTTTCCCAGTATCCCGGTTTCCCGGTTTCCCGGTATCCCGGAATCCCGGTATCCCGGTTTCGCGATTTCGTGGTTTCTCGGTTTCGCGGTTTCCCAGTATCGCGGTTTCCCGGCATCCTGGTTTCCCAGTTTCCCGGTATCCCGGAATCCCGGTATCCCGGTTTCCCGGCTTCCCGGTTTCCCGGTTTCGCGGTTTCGCGGTTTTCCAATATCCTAGTTTCCCGGTTTCCCAGTATCCCGGTTTCCCAGTATCCCGGTATCCCGATTTCCCGGTTTCCCAGTATCCCGGTTTCCCGGTTTCCCAGTATCCCGGTTTCCCGGTTTCCCAGTATCCCGGTTTCCCGGTTTCCCAGTATCCCGGTTCCCCGGTTTCCCAGTATCCCGGTTTCCCGGTTTCCTAGTATCCCGGTTTCCCGGTTTCCCAGTATCCCGGTTTCCCGGTTTCCCAGTATCCCGGTTTCCCGGTTTCCCAGTATCCCGGTTTCCCGGTTTCCCAGTATCCCGGTTTCCCGGTTTCCCAGTATCCCGGTATCCCGGTTTCCCGGTTTCCCAGTATCCCGGTTTCCCGGTTTCCCAGTATCCCGGTTTCCCGGTTTCCCAGTATCCCGGTTTCCCGGTTTCCCAGTATCCCGGTTTCCCGGTTTCCCAGTATCCCGGTTTCCCGGTTTCCCAGTATCCCGGTTTCCCGGGTTCCCAGTATCCCGGTTTCCCGGTTTCCCAGTATCCCGGTATTCCGGTATCGTGGTATTGTGGTTCCCCGGTATTCCGGTTTCCCGGTTTCCCGGTATCCCGGTTTCTCGGTTTCCCGGTATCCCGGTGGGTGGGTGGGTGGGTGGGTGGGTTGGTGCTCCTCACCAGACGAGCCAGTGGAGTGATCCGTTATCTGGGGCGGGGGTTATCTGATGTTGGTGCACCTGTTGGTCATTGGGTGTGTCAATTCGTCCTTTTCGTCTTCTGTGACCTGTCTGCCTGCTGCTGCTGCGCGCCCTCCTCCCCACCCTTTACCAGACGAGCTTGCAGGGCGATCTGGGGCGGGTATCACCTGGTGACTGCATTGTGGCGTTCTCGCGGCGAGAGATATTCGAAATCAAGGTGCGTTGCGTTTCATGCTGGGAATTTGGAAGCGCTTCAAAATATACCTCCATGCGGGGCCGTGCTCTGCTCTGGTGCATGCGTTCCATGTGGCCTGCTCTGAGCAGCACACATGCTGGGCCTTGCTCTGCTTTGCTTTTTTTGAGACGCCTCAAAAATCGCATAAAAAATCGTCTCAGTTTTTGAGGCGCATAAAAAAGCGTGCTCTGCTCTGGTGCATGCGTTCCATGTGGTCTGCTCTGAGCAGCACACATGCTGGGCCTTGCTCTGCTCTGCTGTTGTCTGCCCTACCGTGTGCCTTGTGAACAATGGTTCAATGTGCATCAGCTTTCGGGTGTTTCAGCTCACTGTCTTAAAGTGCATATGACTTCCTGTACCCCACCCACACGTGCCTTTCTTCCCTCACACAGCGAGCGGAGGAGATGACAACGAAGCACCGGTGCTGTGTGGTGTACGGGGCACTGCCACCAGAGATGCTTCCTCTTCCTCACATGTGTCCTCCTACCCTTTACATCACATGTCCCTTCCCCTCCTGCTCCTTCCTACTACCCCCGTCCAGCGGGCAGTGGAGATGACAACGAAGCACCGGTGCTGTGTGGTGTACGGGGCACTGCCACCAGAGATGCTTCCTCTTCCTCACATGTGTCCTCCTACCCTTCACATCACATCTCCCTTCCCCTCCTGCTCCTTCCTACTACCCCCGTCCAGCGGGCAGTGGAGATGACAACGAAGCACCGGTGCTGTGTGGTGTACGGGGCACTGCCACCAGAGACGAGGCGGCAGCAGGCGAGGCTGTTCAACGAGGAGGAGAGTGGCTTCCGTGTGTTGGTAGCTTCGGACGCTATTGGAATGGGGCTCAACCTCTCCATCCGCAGAGTGGTCTTCTCAACCCTGCACAAGTTCAACGGGGAGGAGAAGATCATCATCCCTTCACCCATGGTACGCACAGAAACACGAAGTGTTTGTCACAGTGCTTATTAGGCAGCAGGCGGGGCTGTTCAACGAGGAGGAGGGCGACTTCCGTGTGCTTGTGGTGTCAGACGCCATCGGCATGGGGCTTAATCTGTCGATTCGAAGGGTTGTTTTTTCAACGCTGCACAAGTTCAATGGGGAGGAGAAGATCATCATTCCCTCGCCCATGGTACGTTCGGGCATTTTTTAAAATATGGGTTATTGCCCCATATCCCCATATTTCCCCTCTCCCCTCGGTCTCTCTCTTCCATCCACCTCTCTCTCCTCCCCTCAGTTTTTCTCCCTTTCGTCTCTCCCTCCATCTCGTTCCCCACCACTCCCATCCTTCACCCCCAACTAACAGGTGAAGCAGATAGCAGGGAGGGCGGGCAGGAGGGGAAGCCGCTACGAGGAGGGAGTGGTGACATGCCTGGACCCCACCGACACGCCGCTGCTCATCGCTGCTCTGCAGGACCCCGTTGAGCCCACCACGGCTGCTGGCCTCTTCCCTCTCTTCGAACAGGTGCCGTGTGTGACGTGTGGTTGCTGTGTGCTGTGGTGTGGTATGGTGCGAAGTGGTGCGGAGTGGTGCGGAGTGGTGCGGAGTGGTGCGGAGTGCTCCCCCCTTCTTTGATTTGAACAGGTGATGCATGCTTGCTCCCTCCCGTGTTCGTGCAGGCTCGCCAGTGGGTATGCCGCTGCTTATCATTGTGGTGACGTGCCTCCACTCAACGCACATCAACTTACTTTTCATCGCTCCTCATCAACCCTTTTCATCCCTCATGAGTCATGACTCCTGTGACACCGCTCTCCACCCCTCATCACCACGCCAGGTGGAGGTGTTCGCCAGTCAGCTGCCTGACGTGTCCTTTGCCAGGCTGCTCGACAGGTGAGACTTGGGTCGCGCATGGTCGAAGCACCCTGCACCTTCTCGTTTCTTTTCCGCTCCATGCTCCGCTTTCACATCCCACATCGTTTCACTTCATCGTCTGGGACGCTCTTTGCCTGCCCAGCTCTCTTACTTAGCAATCCACCCGACCAATAGCGCTTAGTGATTAGTTGAAGAATTTCTGGCAACTTCAGCTTGCTGCAATTCAAATTCCTCTGCCTGCCTCGCTGCCCATTTACCTGCACATGTGCCCATCCGCCTGCCCATCCCTTCGCCCGATAACCCTCCAACTACCTTCATCCTCATCCTGCATGCTCTTTGCCTGCCTCGCTGCCCATCCGCCTGCTTGTCTGCCTGATGTATGATTTCCATGGTTTCAGATTCGTGGAGACATCGAAATTAGACGGCACCTACTTCCTCTGCCGCACCGACAACATCCGGGTAAGCATCGCTCTTGTGGCATGACTTCCGGGTAGAACACTGGTTTTTGAGATGGCATGACATTCAGATGGACATTGGTATTGCGGCATGAATTGGGGTTAACATCGGTATGGTGGCACGACAATCTGGTAAACATTGCTTTTGTAACATACGTTAGTGCTGGCATGACATGAATTCGCCTCCCCTCCCACCAGTGTGTCGCAACCTTGATCAACAAGGTCAAGGGCCTGACCCTCTGCTGTTGACTTTTGAGTCGACTCAAAAGTCAACCAGTGTGTCGCAACCTTGATCAACAAGGTCAAGGGCCTGACCCTCTGCTGTTGACTTTTGAGTCGACTCAAAAGTCAACCAGTGTGTCGCAACCTTGATCAACAAGGTCAAGGGCCTGACCCTCTGCTGTTGACTTTTGAGTCGACTCAAAAGTCAACCAGTGTGTCGCAACCTTGATCAACAAGGACAAGGGCCTGACCCTCTGCTGTTGACTTTTGAGTCGACTCAAAAGTCAACCAGTGTGTCGCAACCTTGATCAACAAGGTCAAGGGCCTGACCCTCTGCTGTTGACTTTTGAGTCGACTCAAAAGTCAACCAGTGTGTCGCAACCTTGATCAACAAGGTCAAGGGCCTGACCCTCTGCTGTTGACTTTTGAGTCGACTCAAAAGTCAACCAGTGTGTCGCAACCTTGATCAACAAGGTCAAGGGCCTGACCCTCTGCTGTTGACTTTTGAGTCGACTCAAAAGTCAACCAGTGTGTCGCAACCTTGATCAACAAGGTCAAGGGCCTGACCCTCTGCTGTTGACTTTTGAGTCGACTCAAAAGTCAACCAGTGTGTCGCAACCTTGATCAACAAGGTCAAGGGCCTGACCCTCTGCTGTTGACTTTTGAGTCGACTCAAAAGTCAACCAGTGTGTCGCAACCTTGATCAACAAGGTCAAGGGCCTGACCCTCTGCTGTTGACTTTTGAGTCGACTCAAAAGTCAACCAGTGTGTCGCAACCTTGATCAACAAGGTCAAGGGCCTGACCCTCTGCTGTTGACTTTTGAGTCGACTCAAAAGTCAACCAGTGTGTCGCAACCTTGATCAACAAGGTCAAGGGCCTGACCCTCTGCTGTCTCTCCCTCGCTAATTCCCACCTGCGTTCCCAATCCCAACCTCTCCTCTCTCCCACCTTCCCCCCTCCTCCCAGCGTGTGGCAACCATGCTCAGACAAGATCAAGGGTCTAACTCTCTGGGACCCCCCCTCACTCCCTCACTCGTTCCCACCTCTTCTCCCTCCCACACTCCCCCCATCGCCATCAGTGTGCCGCGAACATGCTGGACAAGATCAAGGGTCTGAACCGCTGCCGCCGCTTTGCCTTCTGCTCGGCCCCGGCCAACGCCAGAGACCCCACCGTCATGGCCGCCCTCCTGAGATCCACTCCCTCTTGTTCTCCCGGTTCCCCACTTCTCTTATTTATCCCTTCCTCTCCCCGCAGTGTGTTGCCACCATGCTAGATAAAATCAAAGGGCTGACTCTCCGCGACCGCTGTGCCTTCTGCTCAGCCCCGGCCAATGCCAGAGACCCCACCGTCATGGCCGCCCTCCTGAGATCCACTCCCTCTTGTTCTCCTTACTTCTCCCTTTCACCCCTTCCCCTCCCCTCAGCGTGTCGCAACGATGCTGGACAAGATTAAGGGTCTAACTCTCCGCGACCGCTTTGCCTTCTGCTCGGCGCCAGCCAACGCCAGAGACCCCACCGTCATGGCCGCCCTCCTGAGATTCGCCCACCAGTATGCCGAAGGGAGGCCGGTGCCCCTGTTGGCGGGTGGTTCGGGGGGAGAGGAGGATGGAGGGCGGGATGGGGAGAGGAGTGGGGGATGGGAGGGGGGGAAGGGGGGGCCAGGGATGGAGCCGGCGGGCCAATGGGTGCGCGGCACGTGGCGCAGGACGGCTGCTTCGGATCTGATGGCTTTGGAGACGAAGCATCAGGTGTGTGATGGGTGATGGGTGATTAGCTGGCTGGGTGTTCTCACAGGGCTGTTGCTTTCGATTTGAGGCACCTCACGCGTCACCCTCCCCATCTCACGCATCCTCGGACCCCTCCCACCCCCCTCGACCCCTCTACACCAGGTGGCATCGCTCTACCTCTGGCTCTCCTACCAGTTCCCTAAAGGCGCCTTCCCGGACGCTTCCCTCGCGACAGACAAGGCTCAGAACGCGGCCAAGCAGCTCTCCACGGCTCTTCTTGAGGCTCGGACGCCGAACCTGAGCAGCAGCTTCGGCAATCCAGGCTCGGTCAGGGCCAGGTATGGGCCCGGGTTGACGGACGTCCAGCAGCAACAGCTTTGGTACGTTGAGCAGCAGAAGAGGCGGAGGGAAGAGGAGAGGAGGAGGAAGCGGACAGAGGGGGTGGGAGAGGCCGGAGGAGAGGAGGAAGAAGGGGGGGGTGGATGATGAAATGAGGCAGCTGATTGCAAGTGCACGGCTGAAGAGGAGTGCTGGGAGGAGGAAAGTGAGTGCTGGGACATCTCAGAGGTAACACGCTGGTACTTATCAGAGGTAGTGCTCGGAGGTTGGGCTGAAGAAAGGGACTCAACTATCAAGGCAAGGCGACCGCGAAGGCTCTGTCTAGGATCAGTGCGAGGCTGAAGAGGAGTGCATGCGGGAGGAAGTTGCACATTTGCAACTTTCTCCTTTTTCTTTTGTTGTGCTGCTGACGACGGGTCTGACCCAGGGCTAATTTTATCAGTGTAAATCACCCTGATACCCTGATTATCAGGGTGGTTTTTGGTAGTCACACTGATGGCCTAGGGTAATTTTTTGTGGAGCTAGGATTTTCCTGATATGCCAGGGTTTACATTTAAGGCACACTGATGCCTCATGGTTACCGTTCTTCATAACGAGTTTTATCCTGAAGCGAGCACCGTAACCCCCCCCCCCCACTTCCCCCACCCCCCCTTTCCTGTACCCCGGGATTCCCGATTGCCAACTGTCGAAACCGGAATTTCAGTCTGCTGAAGTAACTGACGACGAGCAACACCCATGTGGCATGTATGATGATCTAAAAAATATATTGTGTGCAACGATAATATCAATTCATCAGGGTTTGCTAAACTGGTACACTGATGCCACAGGGTTGGATTTTCAAAAACAATAAAAACACTGATGGATCAGGGTTTGAAGAAGGTGTCACACTGATAATCAGGTTTTTGAACAGGTGCAACACTAATCACAAGGGTTGCTCAAAACCAAAAATTAGCCCTGGTCTGACCGCAGCAAGCCAAGCGAGTAGGCGAGCCGGTGGCATGCATGTGCATGTGCAGTAGGTGGCTTTAAGCCTGTGAGGTGCAACCATCCCTTTTCTAATGACAAGTGTACCGACCGAGCCCTTGGAATGGCTGTGGTTAACCAGCTCTACTCATGGCGAATTTGCTAACCAGTGGCCCATGGAACTCATTACCTCAGAGAGAGCACAGCACATCCTGAGAAAGGCACTTTTTGAAGCTGATCTGGGGCTTGTGAGAATGAATGCAATTAACGGTGGGATGAACATGCAAGGTGCATGCGAGTTGTTATATAACATTAGCATGAGCTTGCTTTGCCACTTTGATAAACACATCCTCTAAGGGAGAGTTGGTTAGTCCCCATGCTTGTATGGGCATGGTCCCCTTGGCTGCTTGCACTGCTGCAAAAACATCAGATATCCTCACCTGCAAGAGTGTGTATCACCGGTAAAGAGAGGGAGAGAGAGGGGGTTAAGTTATGCGTACTTAGGAAGGGGCAGAACTGTGGTACGGGAAAGGTGGGGAATGGAATGGCAAGCAGATAGATGGCTCTAGAATGTACCAGCAAGGAAAACACTCACTAATAACCGAAGCAATGCTTTTTCTCCGGCTGGATTGAACCACCGGGAACACTCAAGCAAGGAACCAGACGCACGGTAGCATACACAGTACTACGTATGCAGCAACCGACTTTGCTGCAAGCAGGCCTGCCCAATCCACTCACATCTTCCACGGGCAGCTCAAACTTTTGGGTGCCCGAGAGGTTGTAGATTCTCCTAGCGTTGACAGACAGGGACAGGGCCAGCCAGGCAGCAGCAGCTTCATAGTCCACCGGAGTGGTGAGGGTGAAGATGAAGCGGCCACCGTACCGTGCTGTCAGCTCCTGTGCACTCCCTATACAGGCAAATTGACCGCGCACAAATATGCCCATTCGGTCACACAGTGCGTCTGCTTCCTCCATAGAGTGAGCTGTGAGGGTTGGGGGGGGGAGGTGGGAGGAAAGGGGGTGGGGGGAAAGGGAGGGGTGAGGACGTGATGTGCACATGATGATGAAAGACACCGTGAATGTGACCGCTCACATGCTTACTCACCCACACACTCAATCCCTCGCACACACTCACTCGTGAGCACAATAGCGCAGTGCTTCTTTGCCCGCTTCACCACGTTCCACAGGTGCATCCTGGACGAGGGGTCCAGCCCCGTGCTGGGCTCGTCCATGTACCCCACTGCCCCACACATACTCCCGTTGACAGACCCACCCACCCCATGTCACACACTCACTTGTAAGCACGATGGCACAGTGCTTCTTTGCCCGCTTCACCACGTTCCACAGGTGCATCCTGGACGAGGGGTCCAGCCCCGTTCTGGGCTCGTCCATGTACCCCACTGCCCCACACATACTCCCGTTGACAGACCCACCCACCCCATGTCACACACTCACTTGTAAGCACGATGGCACAGTGCTTCTTTGCCCGCTTCACCACGTTCCACAGGTGCATCCTGGACGATGGGTCCAGCCCCGTGCTGGGCTCGTCCATGTACACCACAAGAGGGTCTCCGATAAGCGATATAGCGACCGACAGGCGCCGCTTCATGCCGCCGCTGTACTGCTGCACGGGCTTGTCGGCCTCTTTCAGTAGGTGCACCCCTGATAAGGAGGCTTCCACGGCTGATGTTAGTGCTGAGCCTCGCAGGTTCTTCAGACGGCCGTAGAACATGAGGTGCTCCCGACCGGTCAGCTGCTCCCATAGGAGGCTGGTAGGAGGGGGGGGAAGAGGGAGGAAGGAAGGGGAAGGGGGGAGGGGTAAGAGGGCCTCCAGTAAGAGATGTTAAAAATGACTGACAGCCGCCGCATCATGCCGCCACTGTACTGCTGCACGGGCTTTTCTGCCTCTCTCAGTACATGCACTCCTGATAAGGATGCCTCTACTGCTGCTGTTAGTGCTGCCCCTTGCTGGTTCTTGAGCCGCCCGTAGAAGAGAAGGTGTTCTCGACCGGTCAGCTGCTCCCATAGAAGGCTGGAAGAGGGGGGAGAGGATAGGAACGAGGGAGGGATGAGCCGGAAGGAAAGGGGAGAAAAGGGATGAACCTATGGGGCAGTGTAGGGAGGAAAGGAGATGTGATGGAACGACTGAGACAGGAAAAGGGATAGGGGATGGAGAGAGAGAGAAACTCAGGACGCGGTTAAAGTGGAGAATCGATCGCCTCGGGATCGTTTTTCAGCACGGTTATAAACGGTTGTGTATCTTTCGTATGCAAAACGCGGGGTTTCAGTGCGGTGACCGGATCGATCTCCCCCCAGTCTAGCATTTTTACCGCGTCCTCAGTCTTGCTGGAGGGCAAACAATCATTAGGCCCCAGCACGCCCACGCACTCCCTTCAAATCACACCAAAGACCCTCCAAACCAAGCTCAATCGCCCTAGACTCACTCGTGCGGCGGGCAAACACCCATGATGGAGTAGGTCCCATCCCCATGCCCTCTATGGTTCGTCCACACGCACATCCAACCACACCAGGCTAACTCCAAATCACTCTCAACCCTTCCGAACCACTCTCAACCCCACCGAACCACACTCACGACAATCAAATAAGACTCACTCGTGCTGCGGGCACACGCCCATGATGGAGTAAATCCCGTCCATCTCCTCCGCAATACCCATTCCTTCGATAACCGCCGTCCCCCCACTGGGCTGCAGGAACCCCATCATCATCCGCAGCGCTGTCGTCTTGCCCGCCCCGTTCGGCCCCAGCATACCCAGGCACTCCCCTCGCGCCACCCCCAGCCACATGCTGGCTACTGCCTCCTTGGGTGCCCCGCCGTCCCTGCTGGGGTAGACCTTGGTCAGGCCTGCGCAGAGGATGCTGTGGTGTGCTGAGGGGTCGGGTGCGGTGCTGGCGTGCAGGAGATGCTGCACTTTGCACTTCTGCGGGGCGGTGGGTGGAAAGGGAGATGCAGGCAGGGTGGTAGGAGGAAGGGGAGAGGGGGTTGAGTACCAAGCACTCTCTCCCCGCCCCGTTCGGCCCCAGCATGCCCACACACTCCCCTCGCGCCACCCCCAGCCACATGCTGGCTACTGCCTCCTTGGGTGCCCCGCCGTCCCTGCTGGGGTAGACCTTGGTCAGGCCTGCGCAGAGGATGCTGTGGTGTGCTGAGGGGTCGGGTGCGGTGCTGGCGTGCAGGAGATGCTGCACTTTGCACTTCTGCGGGGCGGTGGGTGGAAAGGGAGATGCAGGCAGGGTGGTAGGAGGAAGGGGAGAGGGGGTTGAGTACCAAGCACTCTCTCCCCGCCCCGTTCGGCCCCAGCATGCCCACACACTCCCCTCGCGCCACCCCCAGCCACATGCTGGCTACTGCCTCCTTGGGTGCCCCGCCGTCCCTGCTGGGGTAGACCTTGGTCAGGCCTGCGCAGAGGATGCTGTGGTGTGCTGAGGGGTCGGGTGCGGTGCTGGCGTGCAGGAGATGCTGCACTTTGCACTTCTGCGGGGCGGTGGGTGGAAAGGGAGATGCAGGCAGGGTGGTAGGAGGAAGGGGAGAGGGGGTTGAGTACCAAGCACTCTCTCCCCGCCCCGTTCGGCCCCAGCATGCCCACACACTCCCCTCGCGCCACCCCCAGCCACATGCTGGCTACTGCCTCCTTGGGTGCCCCGCCGTCCCTGCTGGGGTAGACCTTGGTCAGGCCTGCGCAGAGGATGCTGTGGTGTGCTGAGGGGTCGGGTGCGGTGCTGGCGTGCAGGAGATGCTGCACTTTGCACTTCTGCGGGGCGGTGGGTGGAAAGGGAGATGCAGGCAGGGTGGTAGGAGGAAGGGGAGAGGGGGTTGAGTACCAAGCACTCTCTCCCCGCCCCGTTCGGCCCCAGCATGCCCACACACTCCCCTCGCGCCACCCCCAGCCACATGCTGGCTACTGCCTCCTTGGGTGCCCCGCCGTCCCTGCTGGGGTAGACCTTGGTCAGGCCTGCGCAGAGGATGCTGTGGTGTGCTGAGGGGTCGGGTGCGGTGCTGGCGTGCAGGAGATGCTGCACTTTGCACTTCTGCGGGGCGGTGGGTGGAAAGGGAGATGCAGGCAGGGTGGTAGGAGGAAGGGGAGAGGGGGTTGAGTACCAAGCACTCTCTCCCCGCCCCGTTCGGCCCCAGCATGCCCACACACTCCCCTCGCGCCACCCCCAGCCACATGCTGGCTACTGCCTCCTTGGGTGCCCCGCCGTCCCTGCTGGGGTAGACCTTGGTCAGGCCTGCGCAGAGGATGCTGTGGTGTGCTGAGGGGTCGGGTGCGGTGCTGGCGTGCAGGAGATGCTGCACTTTGCACTTCTGCGGGGCGGTGGGTGGAAAGGGAGATGCAGGCAGGGTGGTAGGAGGAAGGGGAGAGGGGGTTGAGTACCAAGCACTCTCTCCCCGCCCCGTTCGGCCCCAGCATGCCCACACACTCCCCTCGCGCCACCCCCAGCCACATGCTGGCTACTGCCTCCTTGGGTGCCCCGCCGTCCCTGCTGGGGTAGACCTTGGTCAGGCCTGCGCAGAGGATGCTGTGGTGTGCTGAGGGGTCGGGTGCGGTGCTGGCGTGCAGGAGATGCTGCACTTTGCACTTCTGCGGGGCGGTGGGTGGAAAGGGAGATGCAGGCAGGGTGGTAGGAGGAAGGGGAGAGGGGGTTGAGTACCAAGCACTCTCTCCCCGCCCCGTTCGGCCCCAGCATGCCCACACACTCCCCTCGCGCCACCCCCAGCCACATGCTGGCTACTGCCTCCTTGGGTGCCCCGCCGTCCCTGCTGGGGTAGACCTTGGTCAGGCCTGCGCAGAGGATGCTGTGGTGTGCTGAGGGGTCGGGTGCGGTGCTGGCGTGCAGGAGATGCTGCACTTTGCACTTCTGCGGGGCGGTGGGTGGAAAGGGAGATGCAGGCAGGGTGGTAGGAGGAAGGGGAGAGGGGGTTGAGTACCAAGCACTCTCTCCCCGCCCCGTTCGGCCCCAGCATGCCCACACACTCCCCTCGCGCCACCCCCAGCCACATGCTGGCTACTGCCTCCTTGGGTGCCCCGCCGTCCCTGCTGGGGTAGACCTTGGTCAGGCCTGCGCAGAGGATGCTGTGGTGTGCTGAGGGGTCGGGTGCGGTGCTGGCGTGCAGGAGATGCTGCACTTTGCACTTCTGCGGGGCGGTGGGTGGAAAGGGAGATGCAGGCAGGGTGGTAGGAGGAAGGGGAGAGGGGGTTGAGTACCAAGCACTCTCTCCCCGCCCCGTTCGGCCCCAGCATGCCCACACACTCCCCTCGCGCCACCCCCAGCCACATGCTGGCTACTGCCTCCTTGGGTGCCCCGCCGTCCCTGCTGGGGTAGACCTTGGTCAGGCCTGCGCAGAGGATGCTGTGGTGTGCTGAGGGGTCGGGTGCGGTGCTGGCGTGCAGGAGATGCTGCACTTTGCACTTCTGCGGGGCGGTGGGTGGAAAGGGAGATGCAGGCAGGGTGGTAGGAGGAAGGGGAGAGGGGGTTGAGTACCAAGCACTCTCTCCCCGCCCCGTTCGGCCCCAGCATGCCCACACACTCCCCTCGCGCCACCCCCAGCCACATGCTGGCTACTGCCTCCTTGGGTGCCCCGCCGTCCCTGCTGGGGTAGACCTTGGTCAGGCCTGCGCAGAGGATGCTGTGGTGTGCTGAGGGGTCGGGTGCGGTGCTGGCGTGCAGGAGATGCTGCACTTTGCACTTCTGCGGGGCGGTGGGTGGAAAGGGAGATGCAGGCAGGGTGGTAGGAGGAAGGGGAGAGGGGGTTGAGTACCAAGCACTCTCTCCCCGCCCCGTTCGGCCCCAGCATGCCCACACACTCCCCTCGCGCCACCCCCAGCCACATGCTGGCTACTGCCTCCTTGGGTGCCCCGCCGTCCCTGCTGGGGTAGACCTTGGTCAGGCCTGCGCAGAGGATGCTGTGGTGTGCTGAGGGGTCGGGTGCGGTGCTGGCGTGCAGGAGATGCTGCACTTTGCACTTCTGCGGGGCGGTGGGTGGAAAGGGAGATGCAGGCAGGGTGGTAGGAGGAAGGGGAGAGGGGGTTGAGTACCAAGCACTCTCTCCCCGCCCCGTTCGGCCCCAGCATGCCCACACACTCCCCTCGCGCCACCCCCAGCCACATGCTGGCTACTGCCTCCTTGGGTGCCCCGCCGTCCCTGCTGGGGTAGACCTTGGTCAGGCCTGCGCAGAGGATGCTGTGGTGTGCTGAGGGGTCGGGTGCGGTGCTGGCGTGCAGGAGATGCTGCACTTTGCACTTCTGCGGGGCGGTGGGTGGAAAGGGAGATGCAGGCAGGGTGGTAGGAGGAAGGGGAGAGGGGGTTGAGTACCAAGCACTCTCTCCCCGCCCCGTTCGGCCCCAGCATGCCCACACACTCCCCTCGCGCCACCCCCAGCCACATGCTGGCTACTGCCTCCTTGGGTGCCCCGCCGTCCCTGCTGGGGTAGACCTTGGTCAGGCCTGCGCAGAGGATGCTGTGGTGTGCTGAGGGGTCGGGTGCGGTGCTGGCGTGCAGGAGATGCTGCACTTTGCACTTCTGCGGGGCGGTGGGTGGAAAGGGAGATGCAGGCAGGGTGGTAGGAGGAAGGGGAGAGGGGGTTGAGTACCAAGCACTCTCTCCCCGCCCCGTTCGGCCCCAGCATGCCCACACACTCCCCTCGCGCCACCCCCAGCCACATGCTGGCTACTGCCTCCTTGGGTGCCCCGCCGTCCCTGCTGGGGTAGACCTTGGTCAGGCCTGCGCAGAGGATGCTGTGGTGTGCTGAGGGGTCGGGTGCGGTGCTGGCGTGCAGGAGATGCTGCACTTTGCACTTCTGCGGGGCGGTGGGTGGAAAGGGAGATGCAGGCAGGGTGGTAGGAGGAAGGGGAGAGGGGGTTGAGTACCAAGCACTCTCTCCCCGCCCCGTTCGGCCCCAGCATGCCCACACACTCCCCTCGCGCCACCCCCAGCCACATGCTGGCTACTGCCTCCTTGGGTGCCCCGCCGTCCCTGCTGGGGTAGACCTTGGTCAGGCCTGCGCAGAGGATGCTGTGGTGTGCTGAGGGGTCGGGTGCGGTGCTGGCGTGCAGGAGATGCTGCACTTTGCACTTCTGCGGGGCGGTGGGTGGAAAGGGAGATGCAGGCAGGGTGGTAGGAGGAAGGGGAGAGGGGGTTGAGTACCAAGCACTCTCTCCCCGCCCCGTTCGGCCCCAGCATGCCCACACACTCCCCTCGCGCCACCCCCAGCCACATGCTGGCTACTGCCTCCTTGGGTGCCCCGCCGTCCCTGCTGGGGTAGAACTTGGTCAGGCCTGCGCAGAGGATGCTGTGGTGTGCTGAGGGGTCGGGTGCGGTGCTGGCGTGCAGGAGATGCTGCACTTTGCACTTCTGCGGGGGGGTGGGTGGAAGAGGAGGTGCAGGCAGGGTGGGAGGAGGAAGGGGAGAGGGGGTTGAGTACCAAGCACTCTCTCCCCGCCCCGTTCAGCCCCAGCATGCCTACTGCTTCCTTGGGCGCCTCGCCGTCCCTGCTGGGGTAGACCTTGGAGAGGCCTGCGCAGAGGATGCTGTGGTGTGTGGTGCGGTCAGGTGCGGTGTTGGTGTGCAGGAGATGCTGCACTTTGCGCTTCTGGGGGGGTGGCCAGGGGGCAGAGGGAGGGTGGGAGGAGAGAGGAGAGATGGTTGAGTCCGAAGCACTCCCCCCCCACGCCCCGTTCGGCCCCACCATGCCCAGGCACTCCCCCCGAGTGACACCCAGCCACATCCCGGCTATTGCTTCCTTGGGAGGTCTAGGGTGGGGGAAAGGGGAGGGGGTTTGAATCATTAGGGGTGAGAATGGTCAATCCCATGGTCTCTTATCGCTCTCTTTCGTCTTGCTTCACCCACACACCTCACTCCATCAATCACCTCTGAATCCGAGCTGCTTTTGTTCCTTTTTTTTTTTAAGCTTCTCTCGTCCCCACTTCTCACACGTGTCACTCCACCACTCACCTCTAGTTCCACATCAAATCGGTCCAAACACCCTTTCGCCTTCTCCTTTTCTCCCACCACGTCCGTCCCTTGCCGCGTGCCCACAACAACACCTGCCACCTCCCCCTCTCCCCACTCCGCCTTCCCACTCCCCGCCGCCCCTGCTTTCCACTCCTTTCCTTCTTCCTTTCCCCAGGAACCTTCCTGGAAGTCCGCATGCACCCGGGCATCCCCCCAAAGCCTGCAGCGTTGGAGAACTTTCCGAAGCGACCCAAGAAGCTTCCGGCAGCCGCTCTTGCACCCGCGGAGGAAGAAGAGAGGATGCTTCCTCACACCGCTACCTGCCGAAACCACCTGATCCAAGTAAATCGCGAGCAGCAGGAAGACCAGCCATTCGACGGCCAGGATCGCAACAGCTGTCAGGTAGCCATTGGTGGCGGCGGTGGCCCAGGTGAGAGTGCCCTGAGAGGCCTGGTAGGAGCCGATTAGGGATGACTGAGTTAGCTCGTATACCCCGTGATAGAGAGCGAACGCTGGGAAGAGTTGCAATGACGTCATGAATGTGGCTGGTGGGGGGGAAAGAAGGGGATTTGGAGAAAGGGGGGGGGATGGGGAGAGGAGGAGAAGGAGAGCAAGGGGACAAGGGGAAGAGAAAAAGGGTACGAGTAGGGGGACGGTGAAAGACCGAGAAAATGACTAGTCATTCACTTAGTCTCAGAAAGGACCGAGAGAATAAAAGCGCACGAGATGCCTCAGAGCACCTGGCAGCAGAAAGCAAGTCCCAAAACTCACTGGAAAACAAGTCGGATTTGAGCATATTGCGGTAGAGGAACTGGCCGAGGAGCGCATAGGCGAAGACGTAGAGGTAGGTGGGTGGGTGAAGGGAGGGGCATGGCAAGAGAACAAGAAGGCCAGAGTGCTTGTGTTCTAAATCCGGGAACTCACTGGAGTAGGAGCCGGACTCGAGCAGGTTGCGGTAGAGGAATTGGCCGAGCAGCGCGGAGGCAAAGACGTAGAGGTAGGTGGTGACGGTGACATGAATAGTTTACCAAGACCCCAAAGAGAAGCAAGGAGGGCCATTGCACTCACTTGAGAAAAAAATGGATTTCAGGAGGTTGCGGTAGAAGAACTGGCCGAGCAACGCGGAGACGAAGACGTGGCGATGGTGGTGGGGCGAGTGTGGCAAGGCTTCAACGAAAAGGTAGGAATTCCACGGTACTCACTTGAGAAAGAACACGTGTAGCGAGGTTGTTTTTGAGACGTCTCAAAACAAAAACAACCTCGCTACAAAAGGCAGGAACTCCACGGTACTCACTTGAGAAAGAATTGGATTCGAGGAGATTGCGGTAGAAGAATTGGCCGAGCAGCGCAGAGACGAAGACGTAGAGGTAGGTGGCGACGGTGGCGGGGCGCGTGTGGGCAAAGGCTGTAGAGAGGAGCATGGCGAGTGCGATCTGCGTGTTGGCTTGTACGATGTATAGCAGCAGCTGTAGGCCATACGGGTTGAGCGTGAAGGACTTGAGCTCTGGATGGACGAGGAGGGGGAAAGGGAAAGGGGGAAAGGGGGAAGGAGGAAGGGGGAAGGGGGAAGGGGGAAGGGGGAAAAGGAAAAGGGGAAGAAGGGAAAGTGGTGGATGCGAGCATGGCGAGTGCGATCTGCGTGTTGGCTTGCACGAGGCATAGCAGCAAACAGGCCATACGGGTTGAGGGTGAAGGACTTGAGAAGAAAGGAGGGTGACGTGAACAGGAAGAGGGTGGGAAGGGAGGGGGACGTGCAAGGCAAAGTCTGTCTGGGTGTGTTGCTTGTCTCCCCTCCAACTGTCACCACCAGCAGTAGCAGAATCGAACTTTGAGAGTCCACACACAGGTGATTTTTCAAGTCTGCTCAAAAGCCACACACAAACCAGCACCAACAGCAGATCACCGGAACGTCCCTAGTGACTTACGAATACGCTGCTGCTCCTTCTCATGCATTAGAGCCCCTTCCATCACCGGCAGCAGCAGCTGCTCCTTCTGATACACCAGAGGCGACTCAAAAGCCACCTACAAAGAAGATATAAGCTCCTTCCCATGACTTACGGATGAGAGAGCCAAAGGCGACGAGGAAGAAGATATAGGCGAGGGAGAGCAGGAGGAAGTAGAGGTACGAGACGAGCCAGTACGGTTCGTCTTTGAGCCCATGCATGCGCATCATGATCCTCAGCTGCTGCTCCTTCTCGTACACCAGCGCCACTGTCATCACTGGCAGCAGGAGCTGCAGCACCCACATGTAGAACAGCGGCCCGAGGAGTGATACAAAGTCCACGCCCAACGTGGTTTCAACTTTTGGAAAGTCTTTCACAAATAGCAAAGGAATTTCTGCCGCTGGTGCTGCTGGTGCTGATGCTGTTGCTGGTGCAGAAGCAGTGTTTAGTTCATCCCTGCTATGGAAGGTCTTGATAAACGCGTTAGACGCGAGGTTCAGGAGGCGAGCGAAGCGGAGGAGCGTGGCGGGGGTGCCACCAATACTGGCGTTGTTGTACGACGAGTTATACTGAATCACGGGGTTATAACGAGTCGGGCCGGTGTCCTGGAAGTCAAAGGCTGCTGTGTACGCGTTAGTGGCTTGCTCAGGATTCGCCTGATAGTGGCCTGCATACACTTCCGAGTCGATATCCGTTTGCGTGTCCCGCCACACCATGTCTACATCCACACACTCCACTCCTGTTACAATGCGCAGATATGATGAGAGAGAGATGGTGGGGGGAAAGGAGTGGAGGGGAGGGGATTGGAGGAGTTGGGAGGGGTTGGGAAGGGAGGGTGAAGCGCAAGGGAGGGGAGAGGAGGGGATTGGAGGGGAAGAAAGGAGTTGGGAGAGGTGAGTGAAGGCTTGTGTGATTCGATATCCGTTTGCGTGTCCCGCCACACCGTGTTTACACACTCCACTCTTGTTACGATGAGCAGCGATGAGGAGAGAGGAATGGATGGGAGGGGAAGGGAGTAAAGGGGAGGGGATGGGAGGAGTTCGGAGGAGTTAGCATGGGTGGATGAAGGCCTGGGGTAGTCAATATCCGCTTGCGTGTCCCGCCTCACCGTGCCCATTTTTGAGTCGACTGAAACACAGGCTTGCGTGTCCCGCCTCACCGTGCCCATTTTTGAGTCGACTCAAACACAGGCTTGCGTGTCCCGCCTCACCGTGCCCATTTTTGAGTCGACTCAAACACAGGCTTGCGTGTCCCGCCTCACCGTGCCCATTTTTGAGTCGACTCAAACACAGGCTTGCGTGTCCCGCCTCACCGTGCCCATTTTTGAGTCGACTCAAACACAGGCTTGCGTGTCCCGCCTCACCGTGCCCATTTTTGAGTCGACTCAAACACAGGCTTGCGTGTCCCGCCTCACCGTGCCCATTTTTGAGTCGACTCAAACACAGGCTTGCGTGTCCCGCCTCACCGTGCCCATTTTTGAGTCGACTCAAACACAGGCTTGCGTGTCCCGCCTCACCGTGCCCATTTTTGAGTCGACTCAAACACAGGCTTGCGTGTCCCGCCTCACCGTGCCCATTTTTGAGTCGACTCAAACACAGGCTTGCGTGTCCCGCCTCACCGTGCCCATTTTTGAGTCGACTCAAACACAGGCTTGCGTGTCCCGCCTCACCGTGCCCATTTTTGAGTCGACTCAAACACAGGCTTGCGTGTCCCGCCTCACCGTGCCCATTTTTGAGTCGACTGAAACACAGGCTTGCGTGTCCCGCCTCACCGTGCCCATTTTTGAGTCGACTGAAACACAGGCTTGCGTGTCCCGCCTCACCGTGCCCATTTTTGAGTCGACTGAAACACAGGCTTGCGTGTCCCGCCTCACCGTGCCCATTTTTGAGTCGACTCAAACACAGGCTTGCGTGTCCCGCCTCACCGTGCCCATTTTTGAGTCGACTCAAACACAGGCTTGCGTGTCCCGCCTCACCGTGCCCATTTTTGAGTCGACTCAAACACAGGCTTGCGTGTCCCGCCTCACCGTGCCCATTTTTGAGTCGACTCAAACACAGGCTTGCGTGTCCCGCCTCACCGTGCCCATTTTTGAGTCGACTCAAACACAGGCTTGCGTGTCCCGCCTCACCGTGCCCATTTTTGAGTCGACTCAAACACAGGCTTGCGTGTCCCGCCTCACCGTGCCCATTTTTGAGTCGACTCAAACACAGGCTTGCGTGTCCCGCCTCACCGTGCCCATTTTTGAGTCGACTCAAACACCGGCTTGCGTGTCCCGCCTCACCGTGCCCATTTTTGAGTAGACTCAAACACAGGCTTGCGTGTCCCGCCTCACCGTGCCCATTTTTGAGTCGACTCAAACACAGGATTGCGTGTCCCGCCTCACCGTGCCCATTTTTGAGTCGACTCAAACACAGGCTTGCGTGTCCCGCCTCACCGTGCCCATTTTTGAGTCGACTCAAACACAGGCTTGCGTGTCCCGCCTCACCGTGCCCATTTTTGAGTCGACTCAAACACCGGCTTGCGTGTCCCGCCTCACCGTGCCCATTTTTGAGTCGACTCAAACACAGGCTTGCGTGTCCCGCCTCACCGTGCCCATTTTTGAGTCGACTCAAACACAGGCTTGCGTGTCCCGCCTCACCGTGCCCATTTTTGAGTCGACTCAAACACAGGCTTGCGTGTCCCGCCTCACCGTGCCCATTTTTTAGTCGACTCAAACACAGGCTTGCGTGTCCCGCCTCACCGTGCCCATTTTTGAGTCGACTCAAACACAGGCTTGCGTGTCCCGCCTCACCGTGCCCATTTTTGAGTCGACTCAAACACAGGCTTGCGTGTCCCGCCTCACCGTGCCCATTTTTGAGTCGACTCAAACACAGGCTTGCGTGTCCCGCCTCACCGTGCCCATTTTTGAGTCGACTCAAACACAGGCTTGCGTGTCCCGCCTCACCGTGCCCATTTTTGAGTCGACTGAAACACAGGCTTGCGTGTCCCGCCTCACCGTGCCCATTTTTGAGTCGACTGAAACACAGGCTTGCGTGTCCCGCCTCACCGTGCCCATTTTTGAGTCGACTCAAACACAGGCTTGCGTGTCCCGCCTCACCGTGCCCATTTTTGAGTCGACTCAAACACAGGCTTGCGTGTCCCGCCTCACCGTGCCCATTTTTGAGTCGACTCAAACACAGGCTTGCGTGTCCCGCCTCACCGTGCCCATTTTTGAGTCGACTCAAACACAGGCTTGCGTGTCCCGCCTCACCGTGCCCATTTTTGAGTCGACTCAAACACAGGCTTGCGTGTCCCGCCTCACCGTGCCCATTTTTGAGTCGACTCAAACACAGGCTTGCGTGTCCCGCCTCACCGTGCCCATTTTTGAGTCGACTCAAACACAGGCTTGCGTGTCCCGCCTCACCGTGCCCATTTTTGAGTCGACTCAAACACAGGCTTGCGTGTCCCGCCTCACCGTGCCCATTTTTGAGTCGACTCAAACACCGGCTTGCGTGTCCCGCCTCACCGTGCCCATTTTTGAGTCGACTGAAACACAGGCTTGCGTGTCCCGCCTCACCGTGCCCATTTTTGAGTCGACTGAAACACAGGCTTGCGTGTCCCGCCTCACCGTGCCCATTTTTGAGTCGACTGAAACACAGGCTTGCGTGTCCCGCCTCACCGTGCCCATTTTTGAGTCGACTCAAACACAGGCTTGCGTGTCCCGCCTCACCGTGCCCATTTTTGAGTCGACTCAAACACAGGCTTGCGTGTCCCGCCTCACCGTGCCCATTTTTGAGTCGACTCAAACACAGGCTTGCGTGTCCCGCCTCACCGTGCCCATTTTTGAGTCGACTCAAACACAGGCTTGCGTGTCCCGCCTCACCGTGCCCATTTTTGAGTCGACTCAAACACAGGCTTGCGTGTCCCGCCTCACCGTGCCCATTTTTGAGTCGACTCAAACACAGGCTTGCGTGTCCCGCCTCACCGTGCCCATTTTTGAGTCGACTCAAACACAGGCTTGCGTGTCCCGCCTCACCGTGCCCATTTTTGAGTCGACTCAAACACCGGCTTGCGTGTCCCGCCTCACCGTGCCCATTTTTGAGTAGACTCAAACACAGGCTTGCGTGTCCCGCCTCACCGTGCCCATTTTTGAGTCGACTCAAACACAGGATTGCGTGTCCCGCCTCACCGTGCCCATTTTTGAGTCGACTCAAACACAGGCTTGCGTGTCCCGCCTCACCGTGCCCATTTTTGAGTCGACTCAAACACAGGCTTGCGTGTCCCGCCTCACCGTGCCCATTTTTGAGTCGACTCAAACACCGGCTTGCGTGTCCCGCCTCACCGTGCCCATTTTTGAGTCGACTCAAACACAGGCTTGCGTGTCCCGCCTCACCGTGCCCATTTTTGAGTCGACTCAAACACAGGCTTGCGTGTCCCGCCTCACCGTGCCCATTTTTGAGTCGACTCAAACACAGGCTTGCGTGTCCCGCCTCACCGTGCCCATTTTTTAGTCGACTCAAACACAGGCTTGCGTGTCCCGCCTCACCGTGCCCATTTTTGAGTCGACTCAAACACAGGCTTGCGTGTCCCGCCTCACCGTGCCCATTTTTGAGTCGACTCAAACACAGGCTTGCGTGTCCCGCCTCACCGTGCCCATTTTTGAGTCGACTCAAACACAGGCTTGCGTGTCCCGCCTCACCGTGCCCATTTTTGAGTCGACTCAAACACAGGCTTGCGTGTCCCGCCTCACCGTGCCCATTTTTGAGTCGACTGAAACACAGGCTTGCGTGTCCCGCCTCACCGTGCCCATTTTTGAGTCGACTGAAACACAGGCTTGCGTGTCCCGCCTCACCGTGCCCATTTTTGAGTCGACTCAAACACAGGCTTGCGTGTCCCGCCTCACCGTGCCCATTTTTGAGTCGACTCAAACACAGGCTTGCGTGTCCCGCCTCACCGTGCCCATTTTTGAGTCGACTCAAACACAGGCTTGCGTGTCCCGCCTCACCGTGCCCATTTTTGAGTCGACTCAAACACAGGCTTGCGTGTCCCGCCTCACCGTGCCCATTTTTGAGTCGACTCAAACACAGGCTTGCGTGTCCCGCCTCACCGTGCCCATTTTTGAGTCGACTCAAACACAGGCTTGCGTGTCCCGCCTCACCGTGCCCATTTTTGAGTCGACTCAAACACAGGCTTGCGTGTCCCGCCTCACCGTGCCCATTTTTGAGTCGACTCAAACACAGGCTTGCGTGTCCCGCCTCACCGTGCCCATTTTTGAGTCGACTCAAACACCGGCTTGCGTGTCCCGCCTCACCGTGCCCATTTTTGAGTCGACTCAAACACAGGCTTGCGTGTCCCGCCTCACCGTGCCCATTTTTGAGTCGACTCAAACACAGGCTTGCGTGTCCCGCCTCACCGTGCCCATTTTTGAGTCGACTCAAACACAGGCTTGCGTGTCCCGCCTCACCGTGCCCATTTTTGAGTCGACTCAAACACCGGCTTGCGTGTCCCGCCTCACCGTGCCCATTTTTGAGTCGACTCAAACACAGGCTTGCGTGTCCCGCCTCACCGTGCCCATTTTTGAGTCGACTCAAACACAGGCTTGCGTGTCCCGCCTCACCGTGCCCATTTTTGAGTCGACTCAAACACAGGCTTGCGTGTCCCGCCTCACCGTGCCCATTTTTTAGTCGACTCAAACACAGGCTTGCGTGTCCCGCCTCACCGTGCCCATTTTTGAGTCGACTCAAACACAGGCTTGCGTGTCCCGCCTCACCGTGCCCATTTTTGAGTCGACTCAAACACAGGCTTGCGTGTCCCGCCTCACCGTGCCCATTTTTGAGTCGACTCAAACACAGGCTTGCGTGTCCCGCCTCACCGTGCCCATTTTTGAGTCGACTCAAACACAGGCTTGCGTGTCCCGCCTCACCGTGCCCATTTTTGAGTCGACTGAAACACAGGCTTGCGTGTCCCGCCTCACCGTGCCCATTTTTGAGTCGACTGAAACACAGGCTTGCGTGTCCCGCCTCACCGTGCCCATTTTTGAGTCGACTCAAACACAGGCTTGCGTGTCCCGCCTCACCGTGCCCATTTTTGAGTCGACTCAAACACAGGCTTGCGTGTCCCGCCTCACCGTGCCCATTTTTGAGTCGACTGAAACACAGGCTTGCGTGTCCCGCCTCACCGTGCCCATTTTTGAGTCGACTCAAACACAGGCTTGCGTGTCCCGCCTCACCGTGCCCATTTTTGAGTCGACTCAAACACAGGCTTGCGTGTCCCGCCTCACCGTGCCCATTTTTGAGTCGACTCAAACACAGGCTTGCGTGTCCCGCCTCACCGTGCCCATTTTTGAGTCGACTCAAACACAGGCTTGCGTGTCCCGCCTCACCGTGCCCATTTTTTAGTCGACTCAAACACAGGCTTGCGTGTCCCGCCTCACCGTGCCCATTTTTGAGTCGACTCAAACACAGGCTTGCGTGTCCCGCCTCACCGTGCCCATTTTTGAGTCGACTCAAACACAGGCTTGCGTGTCCCGCCTCACCGTGCCCATTTTTGAGTCGACTCAAACACAGGCTTGCGTGTCCCGCCTCACCGTGCCCATTTTTGAGTCGACTCAAACACAGGCTTGCGTGTCCCGCCTCACCGAGCCCACGATGGGGAAAGGGGAAAGGGGGGAGAGGAAAGGGGGAGAGGGAGAGTAGGGAAGGTGAGGAGAAGGGAAGAGGAGGGGAGGGGAGGGTGAAGCGCGGGTGAGGGTTAGGAGAGGGGAGGACGGGGAGAGGGAAGGTGAGGCGAGGAGCGCATTCATCACCCGCTGTGACCTTAGACCCCCGCACCCTCCCACACTACTCATGAAAACGCCTCAAACCTTGTCACATCACTTACGGATGGGGAGCGTGATAGCATCCGCGACCGTCCCGTTGACCGTGAATCCCCGCATGTTCCCGCGGCACTGCGGCAGCAGCAGTAGCAGCGACGAGTTGGCCTGCCACCCCACGGGCGACACCGCCTCCTCTAGCAGCAGGCTCCATCCGGGGTAGGTTGCCGTTCCAGGTGTTACCTGGGACAGGTCGTATACATACGACGGCACCCAGTACATCGCTGTCGTGTTGCGCTGCTGTTTCTGTTTGGTGCGGCTGCGTGGTTTCCGCTCCCGAATTGATCTCCGGACTCCCGATTCCTGGTGGTTCTGTTTCCCCTTGTGTGAATCGCTAAACCTGCTGCTGCCGGTGCCCCTGATTATGCTGATCTGCTGCATATTTCGTGCGTCTGTTCTTTTCTGCCTCTTTTGCATCCGCGATACTGCGTTCTCCACTCCCTCTACTGCAACCATTTCGTTCAGGCGTTTTCGCACATCGTGCTTCGCCACCTGCCTCCTTACCCTCCCCCTTCCCCTGTTCCCCCGCCCCTTCCCCCCAACGGCTTCCGCCATCCCCGCAACAGACCCGCTTCCCCCCGTGGGTTGCGCCTCCCCCAGCCCCGGCGCGGAGAGAGTCTCCGCCAACCCTCCAGATTGTCCGCGCAGCAGCGGTTTTGTTCCGCCCACGGGGACGGACAGAGGCGGAGCGGAGACCGAGGTGGTTGGCGGAAGAGGGTTAGCGTGAGATGCGGCGACAGCCACGGAATCATTCGTGGAGAGGAAAGTGCTTGGATGTTTCCGGACGGACCTAAGTGACGTGTAGAGCACGTCAGGTACGAGAAGTGACGCCATTGCTGGCGTGGATTGCGGGATGGAATACGAGGCGGGAAGGGGGCAGGGGGGGAGGGGGCGGATTGAAAGAGGAATTGGGAATTGCAAGGGAAGAAGATGGCGGTGTAACGAACACTACTGACCATAAAAAACTCAGGGGCAAAGAAAACATAAAAGAGACGAACTCAGGGGGTACTCGGAGGAAGTTACCCTCAGCAGCGGTTCGATTCTGTCCCGTATATAGAATCACCGTCGGACAGCTCTGGCCACCCTCAGACCGACACGTGGCAGGCGGAAGCCCCGACGAAGCGCCCACCCCTGGCGGCGCGGCTGCTCTGGCCGCATTCGGCGGCACCTGCGCAAACGCCGGCCACATCGGCGGCGCGAGGACGGCGCAGAAGGGCATTTGCGACGCGGTGGAGTACTCCGGACCGCAGGTGATTTTCTCAGGTGGGCAGGTGGAATCAGATAGCCTGAATTCCTTGGGACAGCCGCATCCGCATTTATAGGTTGACATCATAACGTTATCAAGCAGGATTTGGAGGGCTTGTAGAAAGATGCATAGGAGGGCGGGGAGGCTGACGATGCATGCATTCGTGCCCCAGTTGCGACGCTGGTATGCAACGTTCTTGCGAAACAGGGCGTCCGCCTGCGTGAAGAACGACGTGCGAAGCTTGCGACGTCGCCGCTCCGCCGGCGGGAGGGAGAGCGACTGTTCGCACGGCCCGTCGCACGAGGTCGCAGAACACTTGCTCGCGACGTCATTGCTCTCAGACGAAGTGGTTTTAGAGCTGTTATTCCGGGGGGCGTTAGCGCCAAACGGGGATTCTGTAGGGGTTGTGGTGGCAGAGGAGGTGTAATGGGAGGTTGGAGGACTAATTGATGGGTCGCTATAAGCATCCTCGGTACCCGATTCGCTATTGACGCACGAAGCCGCTGGACTGAGGCTTTGACAGTCCATTCGAGAAATCACCGTTTCGACATGCAGCTGGAATTATCCCAGCGGAATTTCTAGGTGACTGGTTTTCTCAAACAGTTACTTCAAAGGACAGCTAGCAAGGAAGTAGATTGTGGCCTGATCAGCTTTGCGCTACAGAGGGGTATGTAACCGGAGGTAAGTCGGCTAAAAAATCGCTGTGGTGAAATGGGAGCTGGGAGTGGAGCTATTGGAAGGCTGAATTGCAACACGATTGCGCTGCAATGGGACGGAAAAGACGCTGGAAAGTTCCGCAAGGGACGTGCTTGTTGATGTGTTTCAGTCTGTGGCTTGTGTATGTCGCCTCTGCTTGGAGCCTGAAAAAACGGCATTACGAGGGGATGTGTCAATGGGGAGGGAACTGGAAGGAAGGGCAATCAGTGCCAATTCCTTGATGGGGTGGAACGGTCTTTCTTCCTCGTCAATGCAAATTCCAAATTTGCGCCATTTGTGAATGCAGCTGCCAAGCGAAGCCAAATGCAGAGCTTGTCGGATCGCAAGATGCGCCCCGGAAATTTTAGGAAATGCGGCTTGGCTCTGTCACAGAATCTGCTCTCCGCATTTGGCGGTAGGTGGAACCTCGCCAGGTTCGCCCTTCCACTTTCGAAGTTTGTTGATAAAATTCACCCCTGCGAGCCGGGCTTGGGCATTGGCGAAGCAGCTGTATCCAGAAGTCGCCAAAAAAATTGAGTGCTTATTGGCCGTTACCATCGTTCACGTTCCAGTTCGGCCCACACAATGGGACTGGGATGAAATGTCGGTGCAACGGTCTCTAGGTTGCACGAATAATGCTAATACACTGCGTAATAGAAGATACATTTTGCTCATAAACAGGAACCGAATATACCACTAGCACATTATTCATTTATTGCCTAAAAAGGAAGCTTGGCTACAACAGAATGAAAAACAGAGCAGGGTATCATAAGCTACCAGGTGATGCATCAGCTGCTGATAATTCCTTGGCATCACATGCCGCTAGACATTCTCTGTGCATAACACAAGCCACAGACTAGATCCACTCAATCTAGCCGTCAACTCATAACAGCGATTGCCCTCCTCTCCTCCATTACTCTCTTCATGGGCTTCTCAAACAACACATTCAGCAACCAAGGCCCATGATCACCACCTCCCCCTCCACTCCCCCCCACTCCACTCCTCTCACCACCCGCCGCCACCTTCGCCCACTTAAGCTTCTTCCACTGAGCCACCTCAGCAACGGCCAGGATCTTTCGGATCAACGGCCGGGAGAAAGGCACCATTTCCAGCCACATCAGCCCTCCAGGGCGAAGCACTCGGTCCCAATCATACAAAACTGACTCCAGGGCAGGTGGATGTGCGAGAATTGATGGCCAAAACGCACAGTGAATCAAATCTAATGACGAGTCCGATAAGGGCAAGCGGGCGGTAGGAGGAAGGTGGAGGGCTGGGAGGGCTCTGTGTGCTAACACTTCCATTACAGGGGCGCCGTGATTGGATGCGGTGGTAACCACCGTAACGCCCCGGTCTGCCATGAGTGCAGCGAAATTCCCTGTGCCCCCAACAATGTCCACCCCTACTCGGATGCCTCCTGGTGGCTTCACTGCCAACACCGCATCCAGCCCCCACGCACCCCCTGATACCGCCGCCCCTCCTGCCCCTGCTGCTGCTGCTGCCGCCCCTGCTGTTGCCCCTGCTGCTGAATCTCTTGGTGTTGCTCCTGCTGCACCTTCCGATGCTGACGGCACTGCCTGTGCATACAACCCTGAACCCTCTTCAAAACCACCGTAGCCTCCGTATGCCCCACGAGCACCTCTCTCCCTGGCTTTAGACAGGTTAAAGCACGACACAAAACACCCGCGCACAGCAGCAGGCAATCCCAGCCGTCCGATTTCCAAACCCTCCGCCTCCTCGCCTTCCGGCCCAACCATCGTCCCCTCCCCTTTTAAATCCCCCCTGCCCACAACCCCGCCACTGCCAGTGCCAGTGCCACCACCAACGCCACCGCCATCGGCACCCGCATCTCCATCCCCGCGCCACGCGCGTTCGGCCTGGTCCTCCTGCGCCATGAGGCATTCCCAGTCGCGGCACGGGCCGTACAGCTCCCACGCAATGCTCCTCGCCTCGGGATTCGTCCACCTCGCTGCTTCCCGCGATGGCGGCTCCGCGGATTCACTGACTGCGGCGCCGATCGTGTCCGCAGCGGTAGTTGCGGAGGTGGAAGGCGAAAGAGGAGAGGAATCGGAGAAGCAGGCGCGGCGGGGGAGGTCGAGGCATCGCGCGTCGAAGAGTAGAGCCTCGTCAAGTCTAGAGCTCGGCGGCAGCTCCCACTGCGCACGTGCTCGCTCTGACTGCCCTGACTGCTCTGACTGCTGCTGCTGTTTCTGTGGCTGTTCGTGAATGCCTCCCTGAAGTTGCTGCTGCGGCGGCTGCGACATTCGCTGGCTAGGTAGCTGGTTACCATCTTCAGGAGCACCGTAACCACCACTAGCCCCCGTGGCAACCGAAACTGTTACTGGAGGGCAGGTGCTGCCGGGGGTGTAATTGTAATAAGCGGACATCTGCGCGGGGCTGGCGCTGCAGTGCTGCCACGCGGACCACGCGCGGCCGCGGTACGCGTTATTGAGCTGTTTTTTTAGGTCAAAACTCTCCGCTCTACAGTGAAACAACTGCTTTCGCAAAAATTCGAGGTCGTCAACGAAAACGTCGCACCCGCGATGGTCCTGTTCGTGAACGTACACCAGCAGCAGCATCAACAGCAGCAGCAACACCAAATCCACCGCGCTAAGTGAAAAGCTTAGAATTCCTCCCCGCCCGCTCTTAGCGCCGGCCCCGTGCCCGCCGCTTGCCCAGGGGTTCCGTCTGCGCTTATTAAAGCGGGTCGCGTACCAAGCCGACGTGGGCGTTCCATATTTCCATCTCGACAGCACCTCCGGGTCGGCAGGGCTATCGTCGTCGTCTTCTAAAGTATCGTCCACCACTCGAGGTTTCTCCCGGCCCGCATCTCTCGTCGCACCTCCCACCGCGCCTCCTGCCGCACCTCCCGCCGCCCTATCTCCACCTGCGGAGGAGCTTGCAGGTGGCCGCCCCCACTCTCTCTCTTTATTCCAATCGCGGCCCATGTCTCTCCCAACCTCCCGCGTCCAATCCGCTGCTCGGCTCTTCCCATGGTGCGAACGAGATGAATCGTCTCTATCCGAATCCTTTTCGTCCTTCTCTCCACTTCTTACGCTCAGCTCTATGGCACCAGATGCTGAGACTCTTCCCCCGCCGCCACCGCCAGCGCCGGATGCGGCGGCGGCGCTCCCGGCACCGCCTGCTCCCCCGGCTGCCCTGCTGTGGTCGAGGTCGTCCTCTGCGTTCGCGAACTGCTGCACGAAAGTGGCGCCGAAGGTCTGCGAAGTTTCGCGGTTTCGCAGCATTGCTTTGGTCTGGGCTGGTCCGCCTACAGCCTACGCTGCTTCACAATGCCAGATTTTACTCTGGGTCGCAAACGGAGGAAATACGCGGGAAAAAAATGTAAAAAATATACTAATCTGCTGTCGATTGAGAGAGAGAGAGTAAAAACAAAAAAACAGAACTACCTGTTTAGCCACTTTAATTCCTACCTAAGAAACGCCTCGGGAGAAAATAAGAATCTATGAAGACCCTATCCCTGCCTAGCTCAAATCGGCTGAAGAGCATGCGTTCTCAAAAGTGCTTAGTGCAAGTGTCAATGAGCTCCCAGCTGTCAAGGCCACAGCATGAAACCAGGCGACGATAGGAGAAAACGATTATCGCGGTGGGATGGGCAGAAACGTCTGGCAGGGAGAACAGGCATGGGTGAGGTGAATGGATAGATGGGGCAACACCTGATATGCGTGTGCAAGACGAAAGAACGCTGAGGTGGGGGGGAATAGGGGGAAGAGGGGAAGGAGAGAGAGGAAAGGGGGATGTAGCGGGATGATGTAGGGGAAGGAAATGAAAGGGAGAGGGGAGAGAAGGGGAAAGAGAGCGGAAAGAGGGGGAAAAGCGGAGATGGGTCGGAACGGAAGCAGCCTCGAAGAACAGTGTTGTTGCAGCAGAACCGGGCAACAGAACATAAGCACGGGAGCCCCTGATTGGGCTTTCGCTGCTGCATGAATATTCGCGGGTAGCTGAAAATCTCGTCAAGGACGGGACTGGGGGAGTTCTGGCGGGAGATGTTTCCAGGGCTTCGGATTACAGCCAATTGGCGACCAGCTGGCGCCAATTCCCAAGATGGCGGCTGACTAGCACACGCAGTTCCTTGCTGGCGCGCGGGGTTTGGCGGATTGCTGACGTGAGAACGTGCAAGGGGAACTCGCGATTGGCGGATGTGACAGCAGCGAAAGAAGCTGCCTCATCAGTTCCTCGTGTTCTGGGGAAATTGCTGCCAGGCGACCAGAGGAAGGAGGAAAGAGTCTCCGGAATAAACTAGTTCTACACTTACATTAGCACATACCATCATAGTTAGCTGGGAGATTTAGCAATTTCGTACTACAAGCTCTTATGACCCAACCAACTTTCCTAGCAAAAAAAACAGCAATTGCTCATCCACAGCAACCACTCATCCTAGCCCAGAAACTCTTCTTCACTCCACTCTTCCCCCATTGCGCAGGCACCGCATCTGCCGCAGCCTCAACAGTCATCTCCCTCTGCTCTGAAAACTTAGAAATCCGCAGCGTCCCAGAGTCGTCCTGCTGCCAGCTCACATCAATCAGGCTCCCCTGCAGAAACTCCTCTGTGGGCGGCAGTGAGACGAGCTCAGCACCCACAGGCACCTGGACCGACAACCCATTCGAAAGCACAATGTTCTCAAACCGGCCTTCGGCTTGCGCTGTTTCGAGCTCGGCCTGCCGAGCGATGTTGAGGAAAACCTCTTCGAGCGTGGAGAGGGAGAGCTGTGTGTCGGTGATCCCCAGCTCCTTGCTGCAGTCGTTGAGCTCCTTGAAGAAAGCCTGCAGGGGGGGGGCGGCAAAGCAGTGACAAGAAACGAAGAGAGGCGAAGGGGAATCCGGGGCTAAGCTCAGTTCGGTAAGCGATGTTGAGGGGGAGAGTTGCATGTCCGTGATTCCCAGCTCCTTGCTGCAGTCAATGAGCTCCTTGAAGAAAGCCTGCAGAAGGGGGGCAGAAGGAAGAAATGAAGAGTGGGGATGAGGGAAAAGTGTATGGCAGAGACAAGGGCAGGTGGACATGATCGTTGCTGCATGGAACTTGTTTCCACAGCTTGGTGCATTTCGCACGGGGACACATGCGGAAATAGGAGGACCGATGAGCAGACATGAGGGCACATGAGCACACACACAGTCCCACACAAGCACATGCATGAGGCATGTGGTATAAACCCGGGCTTACAGTGAGTTGAGGCTCCCGGTCTCGAGGCACGAGGAACTTGACATATCCCTTGGACTCATCCGATGCCTCCACGTCCAGCTTCTGCCGGGGGGAGGGGAGGGGAGGGAGGAGAGAAAAGGGAGCACCCGTCAAGTCAGTGAGTTGAGGCTCCCAGTCTCGAGGCACGAGGAACTTGACATATCCCTTGGACTCATCCGATGCCTCCACGTCCAGCTTCTGCCAGAGGGAGAGCCGGGGAGGTGGAAAAAGAAGAACACTCTATAGTCAGTGAAAGAGAAAGGGGTGTGGACGCCACAAGGTCCCTTGGACTCATCCGATGCCTCCACGTCCAGCTTCTGCCCGATGGAGAGGGAGGGGAAAAAGAGGAGAGAACGGGGAGCACCCGTCATGTCAGTGAGTTGAGGCTCCCGGTCTCAAAGCACGAGGAACTAGACGTATCCCTTGGACTCATCCGATGCCTCCACGTCCAGCTTCTGCCCGAGGGAGAGGGAGGGGAAAAAGAGGAGAGAACGGGGAGCACCCGTCATGTCAGTGAGTTGAGGCTCCCGGTCTCAAAGCACGAGGAACTAGACGTATCCCTTGGACTCATCCGATGCCTCCACGTCCAGCTTCTGCCCGAGGGAGAGGGAGGGGAAAAAGAGGAGAGAACGGGGAGCACCCGTCATGTCAGTGAGTTGAGGCTCCCGGTCTCAAAGCACGAGGAACTAGACGTATCCCTTGGACCCATCCGATGCCTCCACGTCCAGCTTCTGTTAGAGGGAGTGACGGGGTGGGGGGAGTGAGAAAGAGGAGCAACCTTAAAGCCAGGATCTCAAGTAGTTCAACTGTTTTGCAGTTGGTGAATTGAGCTAGGCTATGATTGGTTAGCGAGGTAGAAATGTTGACGAGGGCTGAAACGAGGGATGCGAAGCAAACAAAAATAGCAGGGTGCTTCCGAACCACCTAGGCACGGAAATTTGGCTGGGTGCCGAAGCTAAACTACCAGCAATGTGTTTCAGCTCCCGGAAAATCTCATGTACCGGCAATTTGTTTTGCAATTGCTACACGGGCAAAACGGGAATCTGTCGCACACTGAACCTCCAAACCAACCACTGGATTTCGCCTACACAAACAGGGTGACTTGAGCTTCAATTGTTTTGCAACTGAAGCCAATTTTTCTTACTTGAGATCCTGGCTTTAAGTTAGTGTGAAGAGAAGGGATGCGGAGGAGGCAAGGAGAATTGGACTCCACCCCCAGCTTTGCCGGAGGGTTGAATTGGAGACAAGTAGTTCTGATGAGTCTAATTTAGTGTAGCTGCTGGTCCTGTCAGTTTAGAAGCCCACTAACCAGCGAAGTAGTTTTGCGTACTCACCACTTGTACCTGAACCGCTTTCTCCACCCACCACTTTGATATATGCCTTCACAGCAGCAGCCTTCTCCGCCACAGCCGCCTTGGCAGCACTGTCCGACTGTAAATCCACCGCCGAAGCCGTCCCTCCCTTTGCACCGATCCCCCCAGCCATCGCTCCCTCCACCCCCCTATTCGAAGCCCCTAACATCAAACTCACCTCTTTAAAGTACGCCTTCACAGCAGCAGCCTTCTCCGCTACAGCCGCCTTGGCAGCACTGTCCGCCTGCAAATCCACAGCCGAGGCCGTCCCTCCCTTCGCCCCGATCCCCACAGTGACAAGAAACCCGGCGCCAAAGCGGTTCTTGAGGTGAATAGACGTGCCAATGCAGCGCAGGCGGCCGCGAGCCATGATGGCAATGCGGTCGCCCAGAATGTCCGCCTCTTCCATGGAGTGAGTGGTGAGCACGATGGCCCGTCCTTTCTTGGCGCGCTCCACTATGTCCCACACGTGGCGGCGTGATACCGGGTCCATGCCCGTGGTCTGTGAGAAAAGGGGGGAAGGGGAAGGGGGAACGAGAGTGTTGGGTCGCCCAGGATGTCCGCCTCTTCCATGGAGTGGGTGGTCAGCACGATGGTCCCGCCCCACTTGGCGCGCTCCACTATGTCCCACACGTGGCGGCAAGAGACAGGGTCCATGCCTGTGGTCTGGTGTGGTCAAGTGATGGGGGGGGGAGGGAGGAAGGGAGTGTGATGGTTCGCCCAGGATGTCCGCCTCCTCTATGGAGTGAGTGGTCAGCACGATGGCCCATCCTTTCTTGGCGCGCTCCACTATGGCCCACACGTGACGACGGGAGACAGAGTCCATGCCCGTGGTCTGGTGGAAGAGAATGGGGAAGGGTTGAAGGGGGAAAGGAGCGTTGGGCCGCCCAGGATGTCTGTAGTGTGCGAGTGTGTGATCAACACAACGGCAAACAATGTCATGATCCCCCTTGCCCGTGTACAACCCCTAGCCCTCCAATCCACCGGTTTGTCCAGATAAACAGTCTTGGGATAAACACTCTTTTGCTTTAAGCCTGAATAAGTTTGCTGCTCGCTGAGAACATGTCCCAAGACCAATAAGCGAGATGGCCATCGATAACTGTCTCTTCATCCTGCCGCTGTACTGACGCGTCCACATCTTCTGGGCCTCCGTCAGCCGCAACCTCCTCCGGCAGACTCGCCACCTCCTTGCGCGTGTGCGCAGGGGGACAACAGAGCAGAGCAGAGCAGAGCAGAGCAGAGCAGAGAAGAGCAGAGCAGTCCCTCCGAGAGACCCAACCCAAGCCTCCCACCCAAGGAGGGGCCCAACTCACCGGCTCATCAAGGTAGACGACCTCGGGATCTCCAATCAGCGCCACAGCCACCGATAACCGTCTCTTCATGCCGCCGCTGTACGCACGCGTGCGCATCTTCTGGGCGTCAGTGAGCCGCACCTCCTCCAGCAGACTCGCGACCTCCTTGCTGGTGTGCGCGGGGGCCAGCCCCTTGATGCGCGCGAAGAGGTAGAGGTGCTCCGCGCCCGACAGGCGGTCCCAGAGGATGTCAAACTGCGGACACACGCCCATGATGCCGCGGATGCGCGCCATGCTGCCTGGGTCGCGGATGGACGACCCGAGAACGAGAGCTGCGGGTACGAGTGGGGGAAGGGAATGAGGGGGAGAAAGGGGGTTGGGGTGGGTATGAGGGAGAGAATTGCA